TACAAACACACACTCACTTTTTGATTTATTGCTATCGCGTTGCGGTCATTTCAAGTATTCTTCTTCGCACAAAGTTCTTCTTTCTTTATTACTATTTCGCTTAAGCATTTCATCGCAAAACTTGCACAGTCAAGTTTAATTTCAACTTTGAATCCACTTTTTCTTACTTACGTCTTATGGGTTGTTTTTTAATCGATTTAAAAAAAACCGACGACTCACGTAATTTTCCATAAATCGACTGTTTTTTTTTGTTGGTTTTGTCACAATCCACACAAAAACAGTGGCCAGTGTTTATCGGAAGTCTTTGCGGTAAATTTTAAGATCTTGTCGAATAAACAGAAAAAATCCAACCATTTCTTTGCACATACAAAGCAAACGAAGAACGACGATGTTAGATGAAATTTGCAAAATATATTCGCTCACGGCGTCAATTTGCACATATTCGCATAATATCAGTAGATGAACAGTTACCATTGATCTTGTTGCCATTCAAACGTGCTCAATCCGATAAGAATGTATCTGGAAATCGACATTTCAAAAGGTGATTTTGCATGAAGAAAACATTCAAATACCGGAAAATTCTCACATTCATCGGCTCCATTTGGTCGGAAGAAATGAAGCAGTAGTTAAGCTTTGAAGACATGTCAAGATTGCATTTGATTGCTTGTGTATAATTGTGCTCGCCGTTTTTTCTTCTTCTTTCCTTCTTATGAGACACTCACGCATCGCATTTAAATTGGCAATTGTTGTGAAATGCGAATGGTTCCCAAAGCGACTCCATTGAATTGTATCACACAAAAACAACATAATTATAACAACTGCATTCGCATCACAACCAGTGATTATGACTTTTCATAAGATGGAACATGCACTTTTCTTCTTCTTCTTCTTTCTCTCTCTCTCTCGGCAGAGCATTTTCTACAACATTTTTAATCTCATACAATTTCGAAAACATACAGAGCGCGCCAGAGAGAGAGAGAGAGAGAGAGAGAGAGAGAGAGAGAGAGAGGGAGAGAGAGAGAGAGAGAGAGAGAGGGAGAGAGAACTCGAAGCAAGGAATTCGCTGTGCTTGTTCATTAGATGTTCTTGTTACGAATTTCTTGTTCCACGGATGAAAAACCGAAACAAACGTGAAATATGTGTGGCTGCAGCCGCTGTAGCAATTGTGAGATCATCGAAAAGCGAAACAGTTGGCATGGCAAATCGCGACGCGCGCGCGCAAAGAAAATATGTTGAACGTTATTTTCCAATTGAATGTGTTTGTGCATGCCATAAATTACAGAATCGGCACATGTAACCAAGACTCGAAAGGGGAAAAAAAAGAAACCAAATTGAAAATTTTTTGTGTGTAATAACTGCAATTTAGAAGACACAAAAGGCAATAAGTAGTGAACAAGAGAAGATGTTTCGCTTTTTCTAACAATTAAATTGGCACCGAAAAAAACAAACAAACAAACATCAGCGATGCAGTTGGGTTTTTCTCAAGCCAAACGAGATCAACACACATCGCTTGCGCATAGCGTTATAATAACAAGATGACAAACGAACCCGGTTCTCAGACGAATTCAAAGAGCAAACACAAAAAAAAAACACACACACAAACCGATGGAAATCATTGTGGTTTCTGGTTGTTTTAAGACAACGAATTCACGCTCGTGAATCATTTCCACCGTTGCATTTCGAAACCCAATGCTTATCGACGAATTACAACTGTGAAATGAACCATTCCATCCACACACACTCTTTCGATTTTCTTAAGTCCCGTGACATATTGCACACATTTCTTGTTTCCATTCACATTTTGCCCCAAAAAATGTGCCCGCGTCCACTCGCTCTCGATATAACGACTTTAAACAAGGCATCCAATCGGGTGAACTAGTTTAAGCAAATCAAGACGGCGATTTTTTTTCTTCACTCAAGTCACGGTATCATCGAAACCATTATGATATCTTTATTTTGTGCGAGCCGTTTCTTTTTTCAATCTTTATTAACATTTTTATTGACTTATTGTGTGTTTTTTTTCTTCGTTTTGGCTTATTTTTATGTTGGTTTGGCTCAGTTTGTTTTATTGAAATGCAAAAAAAAATTGTATATTAAATATCATCTATCAGCTGGGGAGTGTAGTGTGGTGAGCTTGTATGTTGCCACTTGCAAAATTTTGAACGGCGTCGTAAAAAGCATTACGAGCATGCGAATTTGGCACCACGTTGAATGATTTAAGATAATCATGTTAGAGAGATATTGCGTGGAATGAATAAAAGGCAATCATGAATGACCGAACGATACAATTTTGACATTTCCACATCAGTTCACCTAAAGACCGTATCGAATCGTAGCTGCCGTTCTGTTGAAATATTGCAACATGAAGAATTTATGACGAAAAGCAATTTGCAGTTGCCATCCACCAATTGACCTGATATCTATAGTTCAAATCAACGAGAAAACCACGTTAATTATTAAATTTGTTTTCTTACAAAATTCAATTTGATGATTAATCTTTAATAATTTCATAGAAAAGTGAAAAAAAAACAATTTCGATTCTATTGCGAGCGAAGAAATCCATACATGGATTAGGCTAAATCAAACTTGAAAATGAACATGTTAATTATATGCATTCTTCAATGGAATAGAATTTCAATTGTATACAGCGCCGCCACCGTCGCTGCTGCTGCTGCCGTACACACATTTCTATTTCTTCGGCGTTTGCATTTCTGTTGAAAAAAAAAACGCAGAGTTGTTGTAGCCGCACAATGAGAGGTACATGTATTGGCTCATGCTATTCCATTTTCATGTTTCAATAGTCACTGCTTCTCTCTGTTATCAGCTCTGCATTTTCTTTTCTTTTTTTTTCATGCCAATGGTTTCCCTTCATTCGGTCGCGCATTTTGTGGGTGCCATAAAGCAAATGCATAGTAGAAAAAAAAATTGATCATGGAGCTGAACAAGCGCACCTTCGATCATCAACAAAATAGAAAAGAAAATTGTTTGCAACACATTTACTGTCCGTGTATGCAACGTGTTAATGCAAACTGTTGAAAAGTCTGCTGCATTTTTTTTTCTTTCAAAACGTTGAATGTGAGTGAACCTTTTTTAAACCAAATCTTGCCGCTGGGACTTTTGCGGCTAAGCAACCGTGTGATGAACACAAGCGATTCACATTTTTTTTTCTCTTCTCTTTATTGAATCTATCACGAATGTCGATCATCATCGCCTTGATAATTTTAAATTAAAACATCAAACTTGGTGATCGGTGAAATGGAGATAGAGGAGGCCAAAAAACTGAAAGCATTTCGAAAACAGGGAAATTCGGATATTTTTTGCCCACGTTCTACGTACACACGCCACCATGTTTTGCACACATAAAAAATCACGATCAGTTTCACTAGAAAATTTGACTTTGCCTGCTTCACTCAGTCTGAACATTGAACTCACGACTCTCGTTGAAAATGGCTGTCGAAAAGACAAGCTAATTTACAACTTGACTGACATTTTTTTCCATCTCTTCTTCTTCGAAGCGATAAAAATCTGCTGGTTTACAAATTCATTCTAAAAAAAACCATGTTTGTTTTGCTCGCTATCATCGAAATAGTCAAATCATTACATAGATTCGCTAATTACTATAATTGACGAAAACAATTGGCGAGGTGAAAAATGTCAAGTCAGACATTCTGCTGAAAAAAAGGTGATCGTAGATAGGCAAACACATAACTTTATTAACTTTGTTGCTTCATTTATTACTTGAACCGCGTCAATTTCAGAATTTTCAACGTTTTACGACCACTTTTACCTTGCATTGTAGTGTGTCATTTTGTCGAGTGAACTGTGAAACGATAAAGTTGCCATATTTCTCATTCCAACTCTGGAGATATTAAAATTTTTCAAGAGAGAATACTGCTATGCTGCTGCTGCTGCTGCCACTGGCTACTGTCAGTTTCTCTTTCGTAATGGGTTTTATGCATTTTTAATTTGGAAAAGCAAAAAAAAAACTGTTTTTTGTTCGTTGTTCCAATCATTATTGTTATCGCGTTGCATATATGAACAAGCAAGCGTGTTGCGTGTATGTAAAATTCATGAAAATTGAATGCGCGTACCACGCTTTGGCTGTGGGAACATATTAATTACTATCTGTATTTTGGCTTTTTTTTTCTTCGCTATTTTTTGTGTGTGTTTCGTTGGTGCCGTTTTGTTCCTGTGCTCCATAACACGTGTATCTTTTGTTGCAGCTCGCATATTTTTCGGGCTTTCAATTCTAGATTAATTCGTTTGGAATTTCGATTTCCACATTTTTCCTGCATTTTTTTTTCTCTGTTCGTTTGTGTTTTTATTTCTGTTTTACACACATTCACCCGAAACGTTCGAAATTCTCAGGAAATGTTTGTAATGCAAACATGAAGCGTGTTTATGGGCGTTATGAAGTGACAAGATGGTGCAACATCCAATAGATTCAAAAGGCACTTTTTTATTTTTTTATTACTGGCGATTGTTTGGATTTCTACCAGAGAGATGAAAGATCACCTGTTGCACAATTCTTTTTTTTTGGGTCAACAAAAATGTCTATTTTCGTTCCAGACACAAATCAAAAATGACGCCTCCATCAATACTTCTTCGAGCACCAAAAATACAATAAAAAATTGGCCACAATGAAGAAATATATTGTGGCCCGCAATTTTGAGTGGGTTTCATTCATTCACAACTCACAGTTATCTGTAACAACCTGAATATTAATGGGCGCTTCCAACTTTAAATTCAGTACAGCGCTCAAACAGTAAATCATTCGCATAAATTAAGTGATGAAGCGATACAGAAAAACGATGATGCCTAACCAAAATCGTTGAAAACAATCTTTTTTGGTCGTTTGTGATAAATTCAAACGGGCAATTTATAAAAATTAATTTCAACAGCGAACAAATTGATACAATGCCCACTTCTTTGTCGAAATATCAACGGAAGGCTTTTATCACGGCAATTGATTAATTTATGTCTTTTTTCCATTGATTTAGATTTGCAATTGGCAGCAGAACTCGGCAAAACACTGTTGGAACGGAACAAAGAGCTCGAAGGTACCATCAAAAACCAACAGAATATCATCGATGATCAGCTACAAGAGATAGAGGTAAGATGGTTTAAATCTCGTTTTTTTTTTAGTAAAAGTGATAGGTGATTTTGTTGAATATTGAGGCCAGTCGTCGTTTAGTTGAGTACAAATACATTGATATGGCATACAAAGCACATGAAAATTGACCGTTGTTCCAGTGATAGCACAAGATAGATGGATATCAGTGGCGGTAAAAATCAATGGACACCAAAAACAATTCATGACCAAGGTTATATACCTAATGTGCGCTAAATGAACTGATAGCACGCATATTTTACAGCGTTTGCATACCAACTGGCGTGGACTTGTGACGTCGTCCAATTGGAGAAAACGCATTTTCAACATAAACACTTTGGGCTAATTGAAGATTTACTGCGAACAGAGAAAAACGAACGAACAAAAGAAACAAAAAAAAGAAACTGAAAGAAAAAAACACACTGAAACGCATTGAAATATGAATTTATTTTTAAAAAAATGTATTTGTTGAGTATTCTCCGCGTGTTTTTGCAACAATTTCAATGTTTTCTTGAATAAAACTGAAACTTTTCTTGAACTTGAACAGTTTCGAGGGGAAACAGTGGTTAATTTGTATGAATTCCATTGAATAAGGTCGCCAAGTTGTGAATTTCTATCGTTTTTTTCTATTTTGAAGTTCAAACATGCCCTCTTCTCAGCACAACACCTTTCATCTCTTGTGCTTCCATGTTTCGATGGGCTTCGGCCAAAAAATCTTGTCGAATTCGTTCTAAAGCTAAATATGTAAAAGGAATCCGTATCATCTTAGGGCATAGTAGCATTACTTCGATTGCAGTATGATTTGTCTCACCTTTTTGTAGGTTCATATCGTCCATTTCGGAATTTTTGATATTTGCCAAACGTTTGCGAAAATTTTTCGCAATCACACGGCGCTGATAGTCGGCTTCAATTTCTTGTTTGGTGCGTGGAATTCGAAAGCGAAAACAGCAGCACAGCATTACAACTGCGGGTGTAAAAGAGAAAACCAATAATTAAGAACGATTTCAGAGCTCATATCGTCGTCGTCGTAGTTGTTGTTGTTGTTTGATTTCAAGCGTAAAAGTAGAAAACAAATTACACAAAACTGACCAATGCATACAAGACCGCTAAAGCCCAAAAAGCCAAGATGCCAACATCGAAGACCAAAGTAACATGGTTTCTCCAGCCATTGTGGCTCAACAAAATCACCCTCCAGAAATTTACTTTCGAACAATCCCATTTTTTGACTTTTTTTATTCTGTTCAAAACTCTGAATTTTTTCCACTATTCACACAATGGCCATATGGTTTGACTACGAAAAAAATGATTTGCACAAAAACAAACACCACTGAAGTTGATTGTGTGATGTGATCAACCGTTGCGTCCAAGCCCCATGAAATAACTAATTGACGAAGTGGCTACGAAATTTTTCTTCCAATTTTCCACTGTCTTTCGCTCTGAAAATCGATGATTCCTGTGGACATTCGGTTATGTGTGTATAAGTCTCTTTATTTTTCTTCATTTCACGCAAGGGTGTGACGACTCATAATTGGCGCTCCCTGCTGACTGGCCTCGCATATATTCATATGCAGCGTTTGATTTTCGCCTCGCTTTTCTTTTCTTTTTAATTCACAAAATAAATTTATGACGCTAAATATCACGAGACATCGACATACATATGTACATTCGCAAACATTGCTTGTTTTTTCTTCTCCGTTTCACTGGAAATTTGTTGCGCAAGCGAACAACGTTCGCACACAAAATGATGATACGATGAAGAAGAATTCACATGTTTTGAAGCAAGCCATATGATCAATGCGGTAATTTTTATATTTTATTTTTTTTTCTGCAGTATTTGACAAAACAGAACAACGCATTGCGGGAGGTGAACGACACACGGCTAAAGATCTATGAAAATATCGAAATTAGCATACAAGATCTGGAAAAGCAGAACCATCGATTGAATGTGGATAACTCGGGCGTCAAAAAGATCAACAAAACGTAAAATTTGCACAAAATTCGTCATAAATCAAAAAGCATTGTGGATAATTGTCCAATTTTTTTTAACCATAGTTTAACCACCACCAACGAAACACTCGAGGAGAAATGCGAAGAGTTACGTAAACAAATCGAAGAATTGCATCGCGAAGTGGAAATTGAACGGCGTAAAAATGAGCGATTACAGATTGAACAACGAACGAAAAAAGATGAAACGGTCACTGCACCTACAAACATTTGTTCGAGGCAACCAGATGTAAGTGGTTTTTTTTCCCTTCTTTCTTTCATTTTTTTTCCGCAAAATTTCGACGTTTTCATTTGAATGTGTTCGCATGTTCATTACAAACCGAATGCTCATTTGCTAACATTGTATCTCTTTTTTTTTTGCGAAATCAATTAGTCGAACAAAAATATGAGCAGCACATCACAAATCGATGTGGTGGTAGCGCATGCAATGACAAGCGATAGTCAAGCGATGGGCATCGATGAGGTCGACCGTCGACTAGCCGAAACATGTGATAATGAGGAAATCATGAACATCATCACCGAATTGGATGGCACTAAACGGCAATTGAATGCGGAACGGCAACGCGTATCGGAACTTGAAGATCAACTGTCATCATTAAGTAAGCCAAATGAATCGTTGATTAACCGTATTTTGCTTTATGGTTTGGCAAATCAACAATAGACCTATTTTTTTCGTTTGTTTGATGAATAAATAATTGATACCGTACATCACTTCCCTTTCAGTTCAAGATAATCGTGAGCTACAGAATCGTGTCGCACAAAGCGTGGCGTCGGACATTGGTGAAATGAGGTCGATGCACGATGAACTGGCCATACTCGAAGAGTCAGGGTAAAATACATATCTCAAGACTGAAAAATCCATTTTCGATTCACAAAAATTCGGGTTTTTATTCAAATTCTAATCATTTTCATTTTTCTCTTTCACAAAAAACAGACAAGGGAAAATGTGCCGTCGTTGTTTGCGTGGTTTCGATGATGATACGTTAACCGTACCCGATTACGCATCATCGATTGCATGCACCGAAGACGGTGACGATGCTAGTCTCAATGAATTGCTGCAGCAACGCACAAACAGTGTTCAAAACATATACAATTCGCAGATCATCACAGCAAATCAGGTCATTAAAAAAGTCCTTCTAAAAATCTCTGATCTCTTTAACACAATTTATCTAACCACTACAACCAAATCACACCAACCACTCATCTGCTTGCCATCGTTCCTGAATTCGGCTTATTTTCTTTACAAAACTAAATAAAAACAAAAACAAAATTTAATTCTTGACCAAATAACCAGCTAATGCTTATGCCACTAAAATTTTAAAACGAAAATTTTCGATTGTTTTCTTTTCTCCTTCTAAAAAATTCATTTCATATTTTATCTCGAATTTTTTTTAGTAAATATTTTGTATATGTGTGTATTAGTGCGAATTTGTGTTTCATAAATCAACCAACATTCGCTTGCTTGCATGTTTTTTCATTTCGTTTGCTTTGTTTTCAATCGAATGCATCTCCAATGACATTCGACAATCAAGCGATGAATGAGTCATTCTCAGAAGAAGGAAAAAAGTACAAAATTTTGCTTTAAGTTTTAATAAAATGATCGAATTAAAAAAAATGAAACGATTTGGTTTTTTGGAATTAGACAAAGATTGACTCATTTACGCATAACAGCATTTTGAACGAATTTTTGTACAGTTGAAAGAAAATCCATTCAAAGTTCCAACACTGCGTGAGAAAACAGAAGAAATCGCAATCAAACGTCCATAGCTTTAAGTTTCATTCATTAGCGATAAGGTGCCATTTTCGCTTCCAAAATAGGTCACAAGATAAGTGTTCAACCGGAATAGATTACAGGGGCAATTAAACTAATTTCGAATTGTTTTAAATTAAAACGAAATGCTGTTTCTAATTTTAAGAGATCAATTCGACCGGATTTCAGTCGGTTCAACGCTGATTTGCTTTTTGTTAATGCGCAAAATAGATTAAGATTTAGTTTAAGTCATCAATTTGAATAAGAACAAAACCTATTTATTTTAACGACAACATCAAGCTTGAAAACGACATAAAAACGTTGTTGATGGACCATCATAAAAATGTATTGTTAATGAATCAATTCATCATCATCATTCATTTCGTTACACATGTGAAATTCAGAGCTCATGCATTTGTAGTTTGTGTGTAGAAAAAAAGTTGTAAATTTTTTTTTAGTCATCAAACAGTGGCGAGACACATATTTCTTTCTGGAATGGAGCTAGTCCGCATCGTATGGAGACAAATTTTCAGCGTCTTTACACGAGTAAATGGTCAAGAGACCGAGACAAGTCACTTGAAATTTACGGCCTATAATTGCGCTTGTGCCGACACCAGCACACAACGAGGGTTGAAAGAGACACAAAGAGGGTGTCAGTGTAAGAGAGGGAGAGGGAGAGATAGAGGCAGGTCAACAGTGTCAGTGTACTCGTAATTATAAGCGGTGATAAATGCTTCTCATCCGATAGCAACGTGAAACAATATGCAAAACAAGCATGATTTGGCGATTATTTATTTGTCGATTTACAACAGATAAATTCTCATTTTCCACAGACACAGATACACATGTACACAAATACTAAATGCTTAACGATCTAACTATCCTGACAATATATTATTTCTTCGCGAAGCTATAAACAAATGTTTAACCCGTAGTTTGAGAAAGAAAAAAAAACCGTATAAATTTGCCGCCCAAATAATTTTGGGTACTCAAAAACCTGGTTCATAATTTATTTTCTACTTGGACTCTATGCTCTTGAAAGTCCAGTCCAGAATACAAAATTAATAAAACCGTTGGCAATTTGTTATTTCAAAGCAACAAAAACAACAAAAAACTGATATGTCATAATTAACGTTGCTATTTTTCTCTGTCGGTTCGTTTCAATTGCTTCCACCTGAACATACTCACTCACTCACACATGCTTACACCTCAGTAGGGACAAAACCACAACCCACATATTTACATCTTCAAAGTGATTCTCATATAATTCTCAATTGACATTGATTTTATTTCTTTGTATTTCTTTTTGTCATGTATACCACATACTCTTACGTCTTTTATAACAAATTACGCTTTTTGTTTTTGATTTGTTTCATTTTTGTTTGCCTAATTTTTGTATGATTTCAACAATGTGTTCTTTTCCCGATTTTTTTTCTCTCCCTCTCTCTCTCTCCATTCAATTTTTCTAGGCGGAATGTTTATTATGTAGAAGCACATCGTCAAAATGTCTGCATGAAACACCTGTTCCCATTTTGGCATTATTACTTGAATTATGGTTTCTGATCACAAAAAATGTGTCATTTATTCAATGGATGCTAAAATTGCTACAATGGCCAGCCATATTTTTCTTTCGTATGATTAACTTGCTGAACTTTGATTTTATTGAATTTATGTAGTTTTAGATGACATTTGTAAGATAAACACACATAACTCACATTTGGTATACACCCGGTGTATTACACCGATCACTACTACGGATGAGATTAAAACACCGGTTCCGATCTCGCACGATTGCTGCAAAACAAACAGAAACACCACACTCAGCCTGTAATTTGTTGTTGTTGTTGTCACATCATTTCAAATTTCATCCAAAATTCGAATTTGATGATCATGAAACCATCAGCTGGTTTAAAAATTTGATTGAAAAGAAAGAAGAAACACAAAACTCATCATTACGCAGACAGAAAAATCATTCATTTTATTATTTAGTGTTTGAATTTCATCGTAGTAGAATGATTAGCATTTATAAACAGAATATTCAATTTATCATTGGTTTGTGATTAACGATGATTTGGTGCGTTGTGGATTGAAACAAAAAAAAAATAACAAATCACAACTCAGTGAAACAAATTGAATTTTTAGCATCAAATGTACGACATATCTCGAAATGACGCAGTTCGCAACGCATTAATTCAAATCGAAATTATTTTTAAATTTAGACATTAAGTGGACAAAAGAGAAAACATATTGTTATCTACTACTAATTTTCGAATCCTTGATTATTTATATTTTGATAATCCATTATTCCATAGTCATGCAATTATTAACTTATTGACGCCGCTCAAAAGAAAGCAAATTGAAGGTAAAAAAAAAACACAAAGGTGCCAAACAAAGATTGAGAATTTCCTAGAATAAGCATGTTTTTCCCATACAAAACCATTGGAGTTTTTAGGCGAAAACCGTATGTAAATATTATTTAAGTGGTCTGGAACTTTGAACATTTCAACAAAACATCCGAAAAAAACATAGAGTGAAGCATTCCAAAATGTACAAACAAATTGCGATTTAGTTTTTTTCTTATTCATGCATCGTTTAGACAGCAACAGTTATCAATTAAAATATTTGCAATTTTTTTAAGATTTTTTTTTTATCATTTACCATCAAAATGTGAATAAATGATTTCACAAAATGCACATGTCACCACTGAATGAATTTTGTTTTTTCGAACACCGTTTAATTCAAGAGTGTTCACAGGTTGTGTAGAAATATGGTGGCATAATTTTATTTAACTTCATTCCGTCCGTCCGTTGTCGTACATTTATTTCAAACAAATAGTGTTAAATATGAATTTATATCCCAATTTGAATGCAAAAACTAACAACAAAAAAAATACACCAAATTCGAATGCAAAATAAAGTGTTCAATATTTTCTTGTATTTAAACCTTTTTTTTATACATAGTAGATTTGTAAGGCATGCAAGTATGTGTTGGATTATTTTTTTTCTGCTAACAATGGGGTGTGATATTTTGAATGAGATTGTAATTGGACTGTTTCTTCCATATTTCATGATTTCTTTGAACAGGATGTGTCTAATGCGGATTCAACGCTATCGGCACCCAGTCCAAATCCATACCGTGATCTGGTCGACAAGTATGAAGCATTGTTGGAGGTTCATAATGCAGCGTTCCGAAATCGACAGGACGAATCAACACCAACCAGTTCGTTGCATGACGAATTGGCTTCGGGCAATTCAAGTTCGGCCAATACCAGCAAAGAGGCGAGCGAACCAAGCCCACAGAACAAAGAGAATATGACTGCGGCAGTAACTGGAGCTAAACGAAAACTCAACTTGCGTACACCAACCGATTTCTCTGAAGCAGAAACATCCAGCTCGGGCTATTCGGATGAAATCAGCAACAAATGCACACAAACCGAGGAGACATTCTTGTGTACCATCGCTGATGGTGACGATAAATTTAGCATTTACGATGAAACATCACCGATTGACTCACGTTTCCGTCATTGCCCGAAGTGAGTTGAATTTTTTTTTTTTTTGAATTTTAGTTTGAAATTAAGCTAAATTGGTCCTTTTTGATTACTCTTCAATAAAATTGATTCGATTTCGATTCGAATTTACTAATGCTTAATTTAAATTTTGCAGATATCGGCATTTGTTCAAGGAGATTTTTGCGACATTAAAAAAGGCTGCCGAGAATAAAGATGAGGGTGAAAAATTGCCACTGCTTGATGACACCAATCCGGCATTTAAGGTGCCACCAGTTACACCGGCCGTCGAAGAGTTACCGACCTTCCCTGAAGTTGAAGACACCGAGAGCGTTATTTCGTCCGTTGTGTCCGAGCAATCCATTGCAATGTCGGAATGTGTCACGAAACATGAGCGCAAAACGGCCAAAAAGAAGACCGGCCAAGAGAACAAAACGCCAACGAAGAAAGAAGTATTCGAAAATGGACGAACATTGACGCCACACAAACGTGAACCGCTCGAATATTTGGCGTTCAACAATTTACGCAAAAAGAACAAGAAACGAAATCGTCAAGGTGCCATAGATCCATCAGATTCACCAGCTCTCATTCCAACTTCGCCACGATTTTTCTATGCATCGAATCGCAAGAGACGCGATCGCGTTGCTTACGACTTCCCGAAGGATGGGTCCAATGCAAACAATGCCGATGGTGCCCAGGGTACATCAAACAATTCGGATGTCGTTTGGAACGGTAACTCAATCACCGTTTACAATCGCAACATGCAGACCGGACGAAAAACGACTGCAACTGGTGAAACAGTTGTTTTTCGCACGAAGAGTGCCGCTGCACATGATCTACACAAACTCATGAAATTGGATCTATCGTATGCCGAGGTATTGCGATGTGCCGATCAAACCGGCAAAAATAAGCTAAACTACCGTCGAAAATGAGCTGTAACGTGAACGAGAACAAAAGAATGTCAGAGCTATTTGAACTGTCTTATATTTTTTTATTCTTCTCAAAAATGTGCCACAAGAGGAACGGACAATTTCAAAACTTCAAATATTTATTTAGATTTGTCTATCGATTCCAACACAAAGTCATAGAAATTTTAACGATTTAGTTTCTTTTTTTTTTTGCAATTTCTATTTAGGAAGATTTTCTCAAATTTCTGCCGCCAATCGCGGGCAAGATTTGCAACATTCCCAATTTTTTTTTCTATAAGAACAAATTCTCTATCTTTATTCTCATTTTATATTTACACTGAAAAAAGGAGCACACTACACAGAACCCTAGCCGATTTAAATTAGAGATAGAATTTTGTTTTAGGAAAGTTCGCGAAAGAAAAAAATCGAAGACATTTGCACGAGAAATCAGAAACACAGCTCTTGATTTATAGTCTATTTAGCCATTAAAAATAACAACACATCAGTAGCCATACAGAAACAATATTACGTAATATTATTTAACACGGAAAAAATGATAAACAACTGTTGCAAAAAACGCATGTGCATATTATACACGGCTTGTATAATTTAGTTAAATTTTTTTTTTGCATTGTACCTATATTGTTAGAGAGAGAAAAAGAAATCGAGGAGTTTTTATCGCGCAATTTATGGTTTTAACACCTCCTAAACGAAGCAACTGATTTTGATACCGTACAATCATTACTTACGGCCAATAAACAATATCAGCTACCATTCGAAATCAGAGCAGTGCACGAACCACGATGAGTTTGATCAATAAATTTTGAGCTTAATTACCCATCCATTGATTACAGTTCCAATTGTATTTTTTTTAGTTTTTCATTTCAACCGATTTCCTAGCGTTCAATTGTACATTTTCGAGTAAACAGCAAATAAGAGAAAAAAAAATTGTCCAAAAAATATGTTTTATGTACAAATTTGGTTTTTAAAATAGTTAAGTTATTGTGAATGACTTTAAAGAATTTGACGATTTCGTTCAAACGATATGCATGTTTTTCATTTTTTTTTTCGTAAATTTGTACATTTGTTTTTTTTGTTCAAGAGCGAGCATGATCTGAACGTTTAAAACAAAATAAATTTTGAATTTTGAAACAGAATCATTGTGGTTTTTTATTTGATGCCAAGAACATTTTTCATTAATCGTTTTTTGAATTCTAGAATTCTTATTCAGCTTGGTGCAAATGTGACCGAATAGAATAAAGTATAAATGATGATTTGTAATTACATTTCATACAAAATTGTGAAATCTCACCCTCTGTTTCGGCTAGTTGACGTGGTGTTTATTTTCATCTTCAGCATCCACTTTTGCTTCAAGTTCAATAAGAGCGCGAGCTACATTCACTCGATCTGAATGACTACATCTGATGTATTTTCATTCAAGATTTCATTTGCCACCATGATAAATTACATTTATGTGAACATCGGTTATGTTTTTCCCGAAAACAATGATCGGAAACTCTCTTAGTTCTAAGAACATACCAAAGAGGGCGCCAACAGCTGTACATAGAAAATCAATATAAATGACCGTTGCAATGGCAAAATCAAAACTTCATTTATGTAATTGATCATGGTCGCAAATCATATCTTGGATGGAAATACACCAGATATTGTATTTGTCAGTCACATCAAAAATGTGCTCATTTTGAATGGAGTTTTTCGTGGGTATTTCTTACTCACACCAAAAATTAGCACAAGTTTAATGTCAAATTGGTTGTGAGCCATATGGAGAACATTTTGATATGGATTTTTTTTAATGGGTATTATAGTGGAAAAGACATTTCAAACAATCTGGCGTAAGTAATTTTTGTAATTTGACCAACGCCCATTGAGCAGCTCCCAAAGCGGAGCCAAAGAAAAAATGAAAACGTTATGGTTTATGATTAAGGAAAACTTTATTTAAAAATCAAACAGAGAATTAGATATTATTATTATTATTGTTTATTTTTAGATAGATTTATATGTTACTAAAAATATCGATATGAACATTTTGACCTCTTGATAATGATGTCAACCGGGAGCAAGCCAGTTTATTTTGAATTACTCTTCACTACAGGTGGGCGAATTCGCGAGTATATACTCTCATACTCACTCATTTCGAAAATGAGTATGTCCCGACATACTCTCATACTCATAGATACTCTTTGAGTATGAGAGTATATACTCAGAGTATATACTCTTTGATTTTGAGTATGTCTCGACCTACTCATTTTTTACCTAAAGAGTAACTCTACACCTACTCTTTTTCCTACTCTTTTTCATACTCATTTGAGTATGTCTCGACATACTCATTTTCAATTTTTTTTTCTCCTCAGAAAAAGTTAAATATCCTTTATATATTTTTCCGAGGGAGGGAAAACGAGTGAGTAAGTGTAGAGTTACTCTTTCGCAAAAAAATGAATAGGAAAAAGAGTAGGTGTAGAGTTACTCTTTGGGTAAAAAATGAGTAGGTCGAGACATACTCAAAATCAAAGAGTATATACTCTCATACTCAAAGAGTATGTATGAGTATGAGAGTATGTCGAGACATACTCATTTTCCGTTTGTATGGGAGTAGGAGTAGGAGAATGAATTATACTCTTTTACTCCGCCCACCTGTACTCTTCACAATACTATGGATGGTTGGTTGATGTCTCAAAGGTCCCATTTCTCGCCTTCAACATGGTAGATTGGTAGATCATTAGCTTTAGAATCATTAGACGCAGGTGGATGTACATTTCTCTTGCAAAAATAACAAAAACAGCAGATAAGCAGCACGACTGCGGTTGTAAAAAACGAAAATCAATAATTTAGAACGATTTCAGAACATTGAATTAGAAACTCAATCACACAACACTGACCAATGCATACAAAACTACACAAGCCAATCAACATACAGTTACTCACAAAATTTTCTGTACACCTCACGATTTTCCTACAAATTGCCGTTTATCATGTCTCAAAAAAATATGCTTCGCGAAATCGAATCTCGAAGATTTTTGGTATACTGTAGGTGGAAGGCCTGAAGACCAAAATAGTGAAATTTCAGAATAAAAAATCCACAGGAATTAAAATGGGAGATGATTATGTATTCACAAAATTGTTTGTACACCCAATTTTACATTAGAGTCACATTTTTTACCCTTTTCTTCGATTTTTGCCTGTGTGGCGGCCATCTACATGGGAAGTTTGTATAAAAACCTCGTTGTAATATAAATCGCAATTATTTCAGATAATCATATAACTGCGCATGGGCGAATGAAAAATAAAATGCATTTTTCTCAAATTTTCAAATTTATTCGGTTCTTTTGTTGAACTGCAAATGACAAGAACAAAAAGAGAGACGGTATTCAGCTTTTTCAGGCGCCTGAAACCCCTTTTTTCAAGCCTATATTCTTCTTCTTTGATTACGTCTCACCTTTGGCTTCCGGATCCAATCAAGCAACGGTGCAATCGGTTGAAAAAAAACTGGTTCATCAGAAAAACGAATTATGGTCATGCCCACGAGTTTGTTATTCTTTTTCGAAATCATTGGGCCTCCAAATGTAGCGAGGGTTCCCATGCTTTCATCCAAAGTGTAACACATCAAATGATTTGCATCAAATATGGGGGGCACTTTCGGTTTGCATTTGGCGCCATCCAAATACTTTGTATCATAACGCCTCGTTCTCATTGCTCCATCCAATACCACATCACCGTAGACAGTGACCATTTCGGACGGGTCATTCATTTTGTAATCTTTGTCCACCAAATCGATGCTGCCGACGTTATCGTTGAACTCTAACGGTTCTTTAAGTGTAATCTTGGCAATGTCAAATTTGAATCCAAACAATGAGTATTTCTCATGAATTTCTATCTGGTCTTCAGTGACTTTAAGTTTTGTCGCATTTCTTGATAGTTTATTAACGATTACATAGACATATGGGGCGCCAAGCACACCATGCGCACAGGTCAAAATCTCTGTTTCCGACAAAATGATTGCATCAAATTTTAGTTGATCATTTTCGTCAGCATCGGCATATTTTCTCTTGTAAGCAGTAACCAATTCTGTAATAGAAAAACATCTCCGAATGAATATTTATGTTTATAAATCATGAAAAATCTCCACTTTTGCCTCTCCTCCAATTAAAATTAAAAAAAGTGACGTTGAAAACGGTTTGATTTAGTTCGAATTTCGAATGCACACTTACTTCCCGGTGCCGCTATATCGGCTATAAATTTAGCTTCGTTAGGTGTAAGTGGAGGTGGAATTGGTTTCACGCTCTGAAATTAATGCAAAAAATGATTTTGTTTGCGTTGTTGAAAATTGGGGCATTGTGATTAGATACCTTTGGGTCACGAATAAAATCAAGGAATAGAGCAATTGGAAGGAACGCTCCGCGACCATCTGCTGTTCCATTCATACCCACTGTTATCCCCACTATTTTGCCATTTGTTTTTGAAACGACTGGTCCACCCGAATCGCCAGGTGTAATAATTTTGCCATCATTCGTAGCTTCACCAGTGGTAAAGCACAAAGTCTGACTTGACATAAATGTGTTGGCCCGTTCGACATCAGATATATAGTTTGCATCGCAACGCCTCAATATCAATGGTCCGGTGTTGTTCAACACGCCATATCCATAGGCAGTGACCCCTTCTGATTGGTCATTCAATTTGTAATCCTTATCCACGAGTTCGATACTACCAACAGTATCGCTGAATTCTAACGGCGTTTTCAGTGTAATTTTGGCAATATCAAATGCACCAACAATTAAACGACTATAATGAGGGTGACATGCAATGTTCTCTTTTTCGACTTTGATTTTATTTTTCTGGTTTGCATCTGATACAACTTTCGTACCAGCTACCACATAAACATATGGAGCGTCATCCACACAATGGGCATTCGTGATAATTTCCGTTTTCGACAGAATAAATGCGGTACACTTACCCATCATTTTTCTAATGGGATCATTTGGATGGTCTTTGTATTCATGCAAATATTTTGTAATAAAATCGTTTCATTCTCAGTACAAGCAATAATATTTGAAGAAAAAATGAACACACATACAAAATTGCTAGGGGGAAACCGCGAATTCTTCATCTACAAAATTCGTTTCTATCATTCAGTTTTAATACCATCTGTATGTTGACTCAAATATTTGACTAAATCTATAATCCAATATGAACGATACTTTTGACCACCACAATGTGATGAATTTTCTGGCAGTAAACCGACAGAAATGCATATTCGTCTTAATAACAACGCACAATTGAAAGTTATCAGTTACAGTGAAATGTTTCTGGAGAAAGTTCGAAAAATGTCACAGTTGTAAATAATATGATGCGGTTGGAATGAATATGAGACTTTCGTCGCTCAATACACAGATACGAAACAAAAATAAAGCAATCCATTAAAATGGAACATGGAAAAGAAATCCGTAAGAATGAAACATAGCATGTGCCGTTTTAAGTATTTCGCTTTGCGGTGTTCCGTTTTGATAGATTTTTTGTCTGCAGTTGTCCTTTCGCATTGTTTCATATGAATGGATCTGTATCACATTGTTTCGTTACTCGAATATTTTTTCGTGTGTTTCATTTCAATTGATTCCCGATGACGTCAGTCGCATTTATCACATGATCCAAATTAAGTGATATGGAGCGCGAATTTCGATGTTGCGATAACACCAATGGATTAGGCACAAAAAAAAAATGTAGGAGAATCGAAAAAAAAAATCTAACTTTTTTTTCGATTTTTGCCTGTTTCGGATCGTCAACATGGGAAGTGTGTATGAAAACCTCGGAGCGCCGGTGTTTTACCCGTATTGTTATACAAATAAACAAAGCAGTCTGCTTCACCGTAGAAAAGAAGTGCGCAGTAAGGAAACAAGAACGTACATGTTTTGGCAACGGGGCTTCACTAGTGATTACGAATGAACGTAATTTCTCGTTACATTTCTCATTACGTTCATTCATATTCGCTATAATGCAACGTTGCCGAAACCTGGCAAAACCCCTAGCAAAATTGATAGAATATTTGAATTTTTCGGACAAAAATTCACACACAAAAAAATGAAAATGATTTTAAAGCAGACTCACTTGCGGGGATATGGATTCCAGCTACGAACTTTGCCTGTGACATGTTTTCAATCACTTCGCCCTTAAGAAGAGCTTGCGAGAAAAAGCCATCTGTTCATTAGAAAAAACATTGAAATTTCGAATTGAATATTATGGAAGTCTGAAGAAATCTTTTGGAATCATAAGAAGCTAGTCCGAAAACCAAAAATGTCTTACGTTTTCCTTGAAGTTCCTAGAAAAAGAAATTTCGTGTTAATATTCATTTCTACAGAAATATCGTATTTTATTGGATAAAAGTGAAAATGATAAAGGAATAGAAAAAACTTGCCGAAAATTCAACGATAAATAGCACCGAAAACAAACCGTGTAGTAGATTCATTTTAATTTACCAACCAAACGGAGTTTTAACCTATTGCACAATGATAGTAAAGAATTGTCTTAAACTTCTTCAGGAGATCCTTTGAATTCGTTTGGTCTACCCCGTGCGGTGCTGTCTCTTTTATACCATTCATCTACTAATAGCTGACACGTGCCATGCAATCAATAATTGATGAATTGTGATATTTTTCAGTTATGGAATATATGAATTGAGGTCTACTAACACTATGCAACTAATTTCGAAAACGAAATTCTCCCAAAAAGAGGAGACTCATTTCCAAGATTTTTTGGTCCACCTAATCTAAATCCCATACGGAAGCCGCAATGAACGTATCTTGAATACTAGACGTGCCAGGACAAACTAACGCCAGATTTGGATTAAGTGAGCCTAAAAACGTTGTAAATAAGTTCTCTCCTCTGTGTTTGTTTCTTGTTGTTGCATAGTGTAATCATATTCAGACACTAAATGAGGCTCAATAACAAAATTCTTTTAATGGACACGTGTAGTTGATACAATTTGTGGAAATTGATAGAAAAATATGGAATACTTTCGAAAACATTTTAAATTCAGATGTAACTGGTTCGTAATTTGATTATTTTCGGCTTTTGCCAATTGTTTTAACATTTACTCATTGTTTTTCGTGTACATTTTTGTTCTCCAGCCTAATGATGCTCCTAATAAGAGCGAAACGTCGCACAATAAACGAATAATCATTTTCGAAAACGGCTTTAGCCCAACACACCACTTTTGTATTTATTCAGATGAAATGAAAAAACGACAGCTATACGTGTGCACCTTGGTGGCAACTTGGTGTATGATCATAACTTTGACATTTTTTTACCCTTTTCTTCGATTTTTGCCTGTGTGGCGGCCATCTATATGGGAAGTTTTTATAAAAACCTCGTTGTAATATAAATCGCAATTATTTCAGATAATCACATAACTGCGCATGGGCATTTTCAAATTTATTCGGTTCTTTTGTTGAACATCAAATGACAATAACAAAAAGAGAGACGGTATTCGGCTTTTTCAGGCGTCTGAAACCCATTTTTTCAAGCCATTCTTCTTCTTTTATTACGTCTCACCTTTGGCTTCCGGATCCAATCAAGCAACGATGCAATCGGTTGAAAAATAACTGGCTGATCAGGTAAAAGAATTATGGTCATGCCCACGAGTTTGTTATTCTTTTTTGAAATCATTGGACCTCCAAATGTAGCGAGGGTTCCCATGCTTTCATCCAAAGTGTAACACATCAAATGATTTGCATCAAATATGGGGGGCACTTTCGGTTTGCATTTGGCGCCATCCAAATACTTTGTATCATAACGCCTCGTTCTCATTGCTCCATCCAATACCACATCACCGTAGACAGTGACCATTTCGGACGGGTCATTCATTTTGTAATCTTTGTCCACCAAATCGATGCTGCCGACGTTATCGTTGAACTCTAACGGTTCTTTAAGTGTAATCTTGGCAATGTCAAATTTGAATCCAAACAATGAGTATTTCTCATGAATTTCTATCTGGTCTTCAGTGACTTTAAGTTTTGTCGCATTTCTAGATAGTTTATTAACGGTAGAAAGAACATCAGGTATTTTCGTGCTTTTTGACAAATGTACTAAATTTCAAAGTCAAAAACACTTCTGAGTTTAGTCTTCAAACATTTGCTATTTTATAGGGTTTTTAGCATGGGTCATTGGAGAAAAAACACATACATTTCGTATGAAATTTGGAATGTCCTAATCCTACCGAGCAGATATAATTTACACAGATCATTGTACGGTTAATTTGACACAGGTGCAAGGGAGTGGTTGCAACTTTAGTCAGAAGACGTTGAAGCAACAAGGTCACAGCATTGCAACTGCTGATTGTATTCAATAGTATTGAGTCAATATAGTGTCAAACATTGTCGTGATGAAACAATAATATTCGAATTTTGGAATGATGGCAAGATACATAACAATTGCCTACTTTCAACAGGTCAAACCGCTAGTGAGCGTGTTCACACCTGTGCTAAGCTTTTAAACGAATTTCATTTTGCAAATAATGTTATTGTTAGTGTAATGTTAACCCCGTGGAAGTGGTATACTATTCATTCAAATGTGGTAACACTTAAGTATTTTTAGCTAAAAGTATTTAAATTGGAATCAGATGTGCCGAGAACAAGGACGAAGGTATGAAATGGTCAAATATACATTAATTGACAATGCTGGCAGGTTCCATTACGTTGCAGTACTAGTGCATCAAGCGATTTTTTGGTTTGGTATTAAAATGGATTGTTTCGTTGAATCTTTGAATGAATTTAGTGAAACAGTACAATGTACATAGCAAAATTGCGTTCATTTGAAGAAGCCTCCTATAACCAATAAATTGATTTTTAAATTATATATGGTTAAGAATTATTTCGTTTGATGGACATGGATCCACTTGCATAAACTCAAATCAAACATTCATTTCACTTGGGAATGATGTCATTGCATGACTATAATATTCATATTGCCATGAATGGTTGAAGAATTGTGCAACCAATCCACAATTTTCCTAACATTCACAATGTTTACACAATAAAATAGATAATAATGACTATCGAACGATTCATTCTAACGAGATGTTCGAAATGGGACGATAGAAATTAAATAAATTATGATGTTTGAAATGTTTCACTTATCCCATAAAAAAACCATATCAAAAATGTGCTCAAAATGTTCTCCATATTAGTATGGCTCACACCAACTTCACATTAAAGAACGAGGAGTAAATTATTGTCGATTTTCATACCATTCTGCTTTCAAGCAGTAGTGGAGAAGGTACGGACTCAAATACACTGTACTTCACTGTACTATTGATTGGTAAATAATCATGGCGACTCCATATTATTGCAAAAAGCACAAATGGTATAAAGCCTTCACACGTTCTTTGTGCCAATTTTTGGTGTGAGTCAGATTTTTACACCAAAAACTCCATACAAAACGAGCACATTTTTGATGTGACTGACAATAAATGATGTTTCGGTTTTGCCGTTGCAACGGTAATTTATATTGACAACTTACATTGTATTGTCAGTCACATCAAAAAGAATAAGCGGCAGCTTTCAACTATTCTCCACTTCCATTGGATTTCAACGGTCAAAGTGTATCTAATGTAATGGAAACTAAATGCAAGTGGAGACGGTGTGTAAAAAATAGTTTAGAAAAACCAAAAATGACACACACCAAAAATGAGCACAAATTTGATGGTTGGTGTGAGCCATAGTAATATAGAGAACATTTTGGGCACATTTTTGATGTGGATTTTTATATGGGATGCAATATACATTTTTTATAAAAGAAATGCCTTCGAATTGATTCATATGGTCATTGCAATAAATCTTTCTATTGTTATTATATACGTTTCTTGGACAATTCGTAATAATTCGATTATAATTTGATATTTAATACTCGGTGGCGTATTGCATACAAATCTTTTCCGTTTCAGATGAAAATCAACACATTTTCTGACGTAATATTTTGATTTTCCATTGATTTTAAAGGTAGAAAATGTTATTTATCCAGTTTGCTTCTGAATATAATCGTGAAAAGACCTGCTATAACAAATCTAAAAAGTTTTCTTTTATTCAATTAGTAGAAAGAACAAATTAATAGAAGTTTGAATCGTAATTTTTTACTTAAACCATTTTCAACGAGAAAATTGTACACAGTTTAATTAAAACTAAACAACTAGAATAATAGATATATTCAGAATGGTACTAAACGAAAAGTTAAAATTACTCTCGACCTATGAGTTTCTCAAGGCCTTACGAACCATCAGTGTTGATTGGTGGTCCAAAACTCCGAATCAAAAATGGTGTTTTTTGTATAGCATTGGCAAAATTGCTTTCAAGCCAATTGGATTGCCATTGTTTGAGGAAAATCAGACAATACACTGGTATTCATACTGTGCATATTCTGTGGTTGGTACCTATACAGTGTTGGCACTGAACACAGCTTTCTATTATTTCACTCATGGGCAACCTGAAAAGTGCCTTCCTTGTACTTGTCTCCTCGGCATCACATTATGTGTAAGTAATTCTTCGTTCAAATATGTATATTGTAAAATTCTTTCGATGTAAAATTGCATTTATTTAATATATTTTTCATTAGATTTAAATCGTCACAAACGATTAGTCTGAATTTCCATATTTATGCCTGTTGGATATGATATCCCTCAGATTAGTATTGTGCAAATTGTTTTAACTTGTTTTTTTTTACTATAATCAATTCGTTCTTAGCACGTGCCTTTCATTCGATGTGTGTTGTCAAAAAATCGTGGTAAATATCATTCATTAATCGCTTTCGCTGGACACTACATTTACCCTGACCATCATGAACGAAGCGAACACAATCAAATTTGTTCGGAAGAAATGGACGCCTCAATGAGAAATTTTTTGATCAAATTAGCGCTCCTGATATTCGGAGTCCAGTGTGGAATATGGGGCCCCATTTACGTTTACTTTTCTGCAGGCCTTAAAACGACGACAATTGAAGTTAAATTTCCATTTACCGAGGAAAAATCGAATGCTGAATATGCTATGAACATGTTGCTTCAATGGATCGGTTTTGGTACTGGAGGTTTGATTTTTTTTGGAATTGAAGTAGCGATGCAGATTATCGGAAATGTTGTCACCGTTTCATCGAAACTAATTAGAAACCGGCTCAAAGAATTGGACAAAAAGATTGAAGAGAATATGCTGTCCGAATTGGAGTTGCGCTTTGTATTTAAAGATATCACGAAGGAAATTCTCGATTATGAAAAGTAATAGTCTAATTCTAAGTCCTGAACCAAAACTTAATTCATAATTATAACTATAATATTTCTTTTAATTGTTTATAGCTACGTCAACTGTGTTCGGGAATTTTTAGCTGAACGAACATTGATAACCCCGGCGCTATTTACCTACTCAATTGGGATGGCCATATTTTGTCAATATTCGGTAATCACTATTGTTATTTCCGTCAAATTATCACTAAGAGATTTGATGATTTTAAGCAAACTTCAATCGTTTTCTCTTCTTGAATAATTCTAAGATGGGTTTTGTGGCTGGATATGGTATGTCTTTAATGGCGTGGGTCCAATTCTTCTACGTATGTGAGGTTGGCGAACAAGTCGAGGTAGAAGTTAAAATTAAGTCACAAATATTTGTTCAGCATCTTGATTTCTCTCTCTCTCTCTCTCTCTCTCTCTTTCAATTTATAGAGTAGTGGACTGGATGAGATTCTTTACGATATAAACTGGTACAATTTTCCAAAGGAAATGCAAAAGGATTTGATGCATCTCATTAATCATAGACAGAACGCAGCAGCTCTAACTGTCGGTCCATTTGGCAATGTTAATCGTAATCTCGTCACAGTTGTAAGCATATTTTACGCTTTATTATTAAATTTGAACGTAAACACACAAATAATAACCCGTATTTGGTGGCATTTGATACTTTCAGGTAACCAACAAGATTTATTCTTTCGTAATGTTCTTACATAATTTCACTGCTTGAGTGGTTTTAATTTTCTTCAAATCTTAAAGCAACCAGGTCAACTCGTCCGGGTTTGTTCTTTATCTTATAAATTATCAGCCACATGGTTAAAAGTTCAAAATAACTTCACGCTTTATATGTCGATAAATTAAATGAAAATGTTTCCTACGTCTTATAACTCTCCTATTTTAACTTTTGCATCTCTTGTACTCTTGTAATCTTTTATTTTGCATTAAAATGAATTTAAAGTATAGCTAAAAACGATGGAATTAATATATTGTATGGACTTTTAACTGTCACTTTATATGTTAGATGTTTTTAATGTTCACCAAAGCATTTTATCGCTTTTCAAGCAAGTTCAAACAAAGCATAGGAAAGTACACGGTAATGATTAGTGTACACATAGTCACTCTTACTGTATTTGTTCGCCAGATATTGATGTTTTTTTCTTCATAAATATGTGTGAATAAATTTACATGGAAGAGTTGACATGAGCAAGGCAAGAGACATCACACTTGCAAAAATGTCGAAGATACATTTATAATGTTACAAAGTCAAAACGACCGGTCCAATCCATAATAAAAGACAAAAGATATTTAATCGGACCTTCTCATGGTAGAATCTTCGAATTATGGATCTACAAAGTCCTTTAAGGAGGTATTCAATGAACATAGTACTTGTTTCGTAGTCAAATTGTATCAATAATAATGTTAATTTATGAATAGAAAAATAAATTGAATTTGAAAAAAAAACGACACAATATTATTTATTTGTCAAAATGTTTTCTTTATTTTCCGGTATAAAATAGTTAGTTAATTTGTAATTGTATGCATGAAATGAATTACACAAAAATGGTGCTATTATTTAAAGTTATTTATCAATTGATGAGACGTTTGTTTGAGATAATGCCATCGAAATTATAATATTTGTCCAAATGGGTGGTGCAAATGTCCTGAGCGTTTGAATCGGTTGATTTAAAATATTGACCATGACCAATGAGTTTCAAGTCAATTGATTCACGTTTAAATGGCTGCAACTTGTTGAAATCGCCAATCAATTTGATACCCCACAATGCATACGGACTGAGGAAGTAATCACTCTTGCCAATTTTACGACACACTTCATTGTTGCACGTTGTACTTTTCGTTTGACCTTGTGAAAAAGCGTATTCATATACAATATTATCGTCTACCGACACGGAGTAGGCTCGATTGGCGCATCGATAATAAGTATTTCCAATCATAGTCATGTCGACTTTGAAACCTTCAAGTGTCGCATCCAATTCGGACTGTCGTTCCTTGGTCACATTCAAATAAATGCCGATGTCGTTGAATTTAACGGCATTCTGATCAATTCCGTTAGCGATTTCAGCACGAACCAATATTTGTTCGCCGCGCAGCAATTTGCCGATTTCATTTGTAATTTCGTTGTACGGCCACGTGTAAAAGGGCGCTGCGTTATTGTATTCGTCATAAATGATGTCTTTGTCATACTTTCCGATTGAAATGCTCGATAGTTGGAGTTCTTTTTTCAAATTATCAATTTGATAGACGGCCTTTTGTTTGAGTGTCTTGGTACTGTCAAATTGGAGATTGTCTGGCAATTGAAATTTGTCCATATAAATATGGGCAAATGGGAATTTATGCTGTTTGAATGCCTGTATAGCCAGTTCGTATTGATTCAACACCATATTCGTTTGAATCATTTTATCTAAATTGTTGATGGCCTCGTTTACTTTGGGATTTGCCGTCAATTGTGGCTTGCCTGAGCCAATTTTTGCGATGTATTCAGTCAATTCAGCCTTTTCAATGTATGAATCTATCCGATTGTAGATGTCAATCAATATGGCCATTGCTTCATTCAGCTTGTCAACGCAATGGAGTAGATCGCCTTGTACATTGAAATCGGTGGTCATCTTAAGGAATTCCCGTTTGACACCTTTGACCATTGTTTGAACACCCCATTTCCGAACGTCTAAATCAACATGAGATTTTCCTTTCAAATTATCACCGACCACTTGGATACTGAGCTCCATTGCACGCAACTGCGGTAGCATTACATCGTAAATATTTTGCTCATGCTGTTCCAATGCTTCCAATTGACCTTCGACATTTTTAATCGCTTTTTTCGTTTTTTCCATTTCATTCAAATTGCTCAACAAATTCGAATAGGTTCCGAGCACCAATTTCCCTGTATTTAAAACCCGTTTCATATGTGCCACTTGATTCAATTTCTTATCAATTTTCTCAATTTCGCTCGATAGTTTTTTCTTTTCATCGTCGCTGGTTGATTTCTCTATTGCTTCTTTCTTCTTCTTCTTCTCCTCTTTAAATGCCTTCTTCTTTTCATTCGCGTATTTTTCCACTTCTTTGCGAAATTCATCGAACTGCTTGAGGTCAGGGAATGAATTCACATCGATTTGTTGTTCGAGTTTTTTCTTCAAAGCCGTCACATTTTTCTTCAATTCGATCATATCTGATGAGGCCTCTTCATCAATGAGCGTCTGTTCGAGCTTCTTCAATTCGGCAAGGAATTGATTTGGCTTCTGTTTGTATTGTTTCGACACTTCGGCCATCGAATTTTTGAACTGTTCATTCACCATTTGAATTGCATCGGGTGATTTATCATCGCGAATCACACAGTTCAGCACCGAACTGGCAATGGCACCTTTTGGTCCTAAAAACGATAATATCGAACTAACCATTTTGATTGGCAGTTGGAGTTGCTGCAATCGTAATGCTTCTTCTAATGCTTTTATATTATCCTTGGTTTCATTCTGTTTGGCAATCGATTCGTTGATCAAACGATGAATATCCAACTCAATTTCCGAGAAAATGCTATCGATTTCGGTGGTTATTTGATTTTTAATCAAATTATTTGCTGAGTCGATTTTTGTTTGCAACGATTGTTTGAATTCATTTTGATGTTCTTGAATGATAACTTGTCGTTCGATCTTCTCCAATTTTCCGATATTTTCTGTGACCAATTTCAAGTATTGTGGCAAATCGAGAATTGACTGATGAGCGTTTCCATCACGAATGCTGCATAATTTGCTCAATATAGCCGAATGCAAATAGTTTAGCATCGTTTTATCGTCGTTTGAAAGTTTTCCATTGTTGGCATACGCAGTTGTTCGATTTAGAATTGATTGGATGTCCGAAGTGAAACTAACCCGATTTCGCAACGAATAATATTGATTTTCAATTCCATGGAACTCGTCAACCAAACCAAGGGTATCGTAGAGTGATTGAATTTGCTCATTTCCATTGATATTTTTAATGAATTGTTTTAAATCCGTTTCACGAATGCTTTGCGCTAGATTTTCTCGAACAAAATTCTTGTACTCGTTTATAATTTGTGATGGATTGTTGAACTCATCGGATTTCGTTGGACTTTCTCTGCCTGCCACGTTTTTACCATCTTCTCCCCTTTGACCAGCCGGAATCGCCAAACCGTTCTTCACCTCCTCACTTACATAACTTATCATCAATAAATTAATTGGTTTATCGTAGTATTTTTTACGCACAATAATATGAGCACTGGCATTAGATCCTTGGTTGCCTCCATCACCCTGCTTTCCGTCTTTTCCTGCATAAATCACAATGAGAAAAAAAAACGAATTCATTAATTGAATGAATCGATATTGAAAAATGTATCAAAGAAATTTAATAAAAGTGAAAACAAATCTTTCTTTTTCGAAATAAAAAAAAAGATTCAAATTTACCTATGTCACTGAAAATTTTAAAGCTTGCTGTTTGTTTCAAACCAATCGTGATAAATTTTCCTGGGAAACCACCCTTGCCACCCGATCCACCATCACCACCGTTTCCAGCTGCAGTTCCGTTTTTGCCATATGTAGTGAATGTAATGTGTTCGTACGGAAATCCATTCTTGTGTTCAATTGTTACGTCTTTGTTTTCAGCAAAATATGTCAAATCGCCAATGTTGTAATCACGATCCATGGCGTCTTCGCCTTTGATTGCGTTCGTACCTGAAATTCAGAATTTTCAATTCAAATTATTTGATCTGTACAGAATGAAAAAGAAAAAAAAATTCAAATGAAAAGTGAAGTGATACCAACCTCGACCACCATGTTGACCATCACCACCGTTGCCACCACTAATTTCAACTTGCAGCTGCTTTCCATTGTAAAATTTATTGCCAACGGCAATGAAAAGGCCACCGGGTCCTCCAGCTTTGCCCGGTTTTCCAACAAGCCCATTTGCTGGTTTACCTACTCCATCTTTTGCCCGTTCTGCATATTGCTGTGCATCCTGACCACGCAAATCTATTTTCCAATCACCGACTACATACCAATTGGGTGCAATGAATGTGATTTGCGCTTTCTTTCCAACTTTGTCCAAACTGGCATCGATAAACAAATTATTCAATGCAAACACCTCAATTGACTTTGAGTCATTTTGCCATTGCATTTGAACGATTTCACTTAATCGGACATTATATCCTTTGACAATTAATTTTCCAGATGAAAATGATGATTGCAGATGATTGTCGACCATTGTTCGGTTGACTACGGCTCGTAATGCTTTGAGTTTGTATGAATTTACGTGCAGATTTTGCACCAAAGAATAGATTTTACTGCCAACGTGTTCACAATATCCTTTTAAGCTGATACTTTTAACATCGACAAAATCGTTTTCGCCAACAATACATTCGCTCATAAGCTGCGATACGTCATATGCGGTAGCGGTGGTTTGCACTTCATACTTTGAAGATTCGTCGTGTAAGTCAATCAAAAATGTATACCATGTGCGAGAGTCTTCGAAGTATTGTGTTAGATTGGCCATTACGTTCGTGACGTCAAAGAGAACCGTTGAATTGATATTGGTGATGTTGCATAGGAAATCAACAAATTCAATGTGTCGCAATAGATTGTTTGATTTCTTCGTCGCAATGCCAATATTCAAATCAGATGCCACATTGAATATTTTCTTCGCACATTCTTTCAAATCTTCTGAGTGCACGTCGTTCAATTTGGTCAGTGCAGTCGTCATTTTTTCATTCAATTGACCAATATCGATGATGTTCTTCTCAACTTGATACACATAAAACTCTCTGATATCGTCGAGGGTACTTTCTGTTTCAATCTTGAGATACTTTTTCATCTTCGTCAACAAGTCACGATAGCGATCTCTTAGCATGCTCTTCATTCCAGTTGCCACTTCGTTGGAGATGTCGTACAAAATGGTCGGATTCGCATTGGTGACTTCATACAAAAATACGGCAAAATCAATGTTCCGTTGAATTCGTTGCAGTTTTTTGTCCGTAATGTTAATGCCGAAATCTTTGGCACAATCAGCCACATCGTTTGCATACACTTTCAATTCGTTTGATTCAATGTCGTACAGTTTGTCATGGGCAAAATACGTTTTTTCCATCAATTCATTTCGATCGGCAGTCATTTCGATTTGTTCCATAAACCATACGTCCACTTTTTTCACGATGTCCATTAAATCACGTCTTAAATCGCTTTGGATTCTCACCAACAAATCTTGAACGCTATTTTTCGACTCGTGCGATATGGCATAGCCAAAATCGGCATTATCCTTTCGAACGAATTGAATATTTTGCTTAATCATCGATTGAATGCTCAATTTTTCCATTTGCAACATTGGTAAATCCTTTACGGCTCCAGCTTCATCGGCAAGCCGCAAAATTCCAATGCGTGTATATTCATCACGGCTATTCATTTCCAGCAACGTATCAACAAATTTAAATTTCTTACCAAGCAGTGCACGTTCTTCGTTTGAAATGGATTTGTCGCCATATTCCGTCATTAATCCAGTTTTTACTTGTTGTAAAAACTGTCCAATACCAGCAATCAATGTTTTATCGCCGATGGGAATGAGTTTGCCACCTTTCTTTGTATATCGATTTTCGACCTTCGTCACCACCAATGCAATGGCATTCTGATATTTGTCGACATTTTTCACCAAATTGATGGCATGCTTCACCAGCTCCATAAAATCATTTCGATCGCCTGCACCATTTTTCACCGACGAATAACTGATTGCAAACACCAATTTTACGCTATCGGCATGTCGAATCACTTTTTGGATTAAATACGTGACGGAAATGTCGTGCGTTACACCTCTTGAGTCGGAAAATCCGGGACAATCATAATATACGTTGTCATTTTCGATCATCAGATCAGGCACAATGGTTTTTGATTTGGTTGTCGAAATTCCGCTGATTTTTTCATCTTTGTCAACAATTATAAACTCGCCCGAATCTTTTTCGCCGATTTCAACCGAGAACAATTCAACATCGGTGATCAATAATGTTAACGTACTTTTGCCCGCGCCCGTGTTTCCCAACATCAAAGTTACATCTTTCTTCTCGCTGAATTTCAGTTGGGCTTCATGTTTTTCCATAAACTCAAGGAATGCCGTCACATTTGTTGCAGGAGTTGTATCGCTTGCAACAACTGTTATTAATAACGTAATGCAGAAAAAAATCTTCATCATCGCCATCACACGGTTCATTCCGATCACCATTCTCCTATTATGCTACAAATAGGTTCATCCAATTTACTGTTCGAAGACACGTTTTCTCTTCTGCAAAACACTTTTTACTTTTTCGAAATAGATGTGATTTGGTTGGACACAGAATTCGTACTGATTGATCAGAGCAGAACATGCCACATTTAAATGCACCACATTTCTCTCCCACCTCGAACTATTTTGCAAACATAAAAAGATTAAAAGAAAAGGACAAAAATTACCAAATCAGGTAATCAGAGCTGGAAAAAACACTTTGTGTGTGCGCGCACGTAACTAAAAACGCACTCACAGTAGATGTGCGGCGTACACAGTTCTTGTATTTACACATTTGCATAGATTTCGGTTCTACTGTCAAATTTTGGCGGAATCTATGTAAATGTGCAAGCACACCAAAAATATAAGAGCTGTATGCGCCGCACATCTACTGTGAGTGCGTTCTTAGTGACCTTTTCTTACTTTTGCGCGTGTAACACACAAAGTGTTTTTTCCAGCTCTGAAGGTAATAGGCGTAATGGAAAGAAGGGAAGATAAGAAGAGGTACAAAAAATATAATCCGGTAATTTCCCAACTCGGTCGTCTCCCTCTCCCTTCATCGGCATGTCCATCCCTCTTCCTCTCTCTCTCTCCCTGTGCTGCAAAGATCAAAGATTAGAACCGTTCACTTATAATAATTCCTTATATGCTCGGACTTTAACCCAACACATTAGAACACATGGCCAATACAGCTCTGGTATCCTATGCGAAGGATTTGGGTAGCATGGTTTAGCAATAAACAGCACGAGATTTAAAAAGGCAAAAAACCCATACGACGTCCTGTGAAGATATTTGGTTGCTAATTTCAAGAAAAGTGTGCCTTGTGCAGCACAGACAAAAAAGTGATCAAGAAACAGACGACAGACCGAAATTTTCCAAAAATATTCGATAATCGTTGCATACTTTCCCATTCTCATTACAATGTGTGTGGATTTTTCAAACCACAATCCATACGAACACAGATTTTGACTTAATATCAAAAAATGTGAAAGAAAATTAACTCATTTCAGTAACAGAAGCCGCACTTTTTCAGTTTATAAAAGAAATCTCAGAAATGATAATGCCCAAAATCCCAAATACTTATCCGCATACATTGATTAATATTTGTAATTTTGCTTCGTGTTCTTGATTATAAATGGTTTGAAAGTCCTTGTTCTGAATGCTCACTTGCAGTAATTGCGCTTATTTTCTCGATACCGTTATTTCATTCCTATTTATTCAATCTGAATTGGTCATTTGAAGTGTCTTTCTTCTAAGTCAGCTGTAAATAAAGCAAAATAGAAAAAAATGAAAAAAATTGCAACTTCGCACAATTTTCATAATCAGTTTACTATTGATGCCATTTCCAAATTGTATGAAGAGAGTGGGCCGATCCAAATGTCCAACGCTCCAGAGCACTCATTAGAGTGATTAGAAAAATATGTTTTTCTTTGGGTAAAAATAAAATCTATTCAAAATCTGATGAAGCTCGTAACACCCGCTAATAATTCTAATGAAAATGAAAAAATCAAATATTCCATGAGACATTTGATTTTGCTAGCGAAGGCAATTGAATCTGTAGTCTTTTTTACTCCACTCACAATATTTTGAACTGATTGTTCCACAGAACACATTGATATCAACTGGTTGTAAGCAGTTATGATGAATCCAGTACCGGCGTACCAAAACTGCACCATAACAAAAAAAAAAATAGTGAAATATAATTGTATCAACGGTTGCACCAACAGGACAAATTTGAACATTTTATTCATTTTCAGAAGTATAACTAAAATGGTTTGCATTATATATAACTCAAACGACCTTATTTTGGACATAACAATTGATTGATTTTTGGACATAACAAGTACATTGTACAAGTCCTGAAATTGTCGAAGCATACTAATTGGTATGACTTTTCGGATCGTTTCGGTGTGAGTGTTTTCCGTCCACATTGTATTTAACTCGCCCAATGTTGGATGCCAATCCGTGGTCACAAGCACAAAAAGCAAAGAATAAATCCATGCAAGTGGCCGAGACTAGGGTCGATTATGAAAATACAATTTGGAAAGGAATGTTCAAGCAAAATCCGTCATGTTTGATGAAAATTGTCGGATAATTGAATGATGAATACTTGATCAATGTTGAATTCGATTTATTTCTATCAATTATTATACAAAATATATAATTATCATTTTTTTTATCTCTCTCTCTCTCTCTCTTTCTCTATAAATTGAAGTGTATAACTGAAAAAAAAACCCGATGAAAGATATTTGATTGCATTAGATTAATGCCTTCTGTGATAAATCGAAACAAGCATTCGTTTTAATTTTGTGGAAGATTCCCGGTAGATGCACGAATTTGTGCACTGAGTGTCATCAATTTTTGGTTAAGCTTGTTGTTATGGTCTTTGAGATAATTTATCAAATCGGCTTGCTTTTCCAGTAAATCATTTGTTTCTGTATCGCGTGTTGCAACACCAACCTATGAAGAATACAATAAATCTCAGTCATTTTTATTTCTATCGTAAATAAAAATTGAAAACAAAATTAATATTTACCGAGCTAATACTTTCGCTAAGACCACGATATGCATCTGGTGGCAGTGTGGCTCGGTTGAAACGCATAACACGTACGATGTACCAAGCGTGTACAGCAATCAGGAGAATCGTTTCAAAAGCATTGAATAGAACAATGTAAGTGGTTGGTGAGAAGAATTCTTTGGTGCAATGAGTGAAAAATTCCGGTCCATACTGATGCTGCATAATGGTTTGAATTCCCAAAATCACGGTATTCCAAAGGGAAACGATGTGCAATGGAATTCCCTTATGCAACGAAGTGGCGCGGTAAAATTCGTGGTAGCCGTTCATTCGCAATTTTTCATGGTGAAACTTGATGAGGTGATCGTACAACTGGAGGAAACGAACGAAAGAGTAAATGCAATAGAAAAATAAAAAGTCAAAGTCAGTCAATACAAGAACCTCCACATGTCAATTACTTACAAATGTTGACACCCAATAAATGCATCGCAAGTACAGAATAATAAAGAATTCCTCACAATCTGTATCACTTTTCCAAGCGTATACCAACAATACCGAAGTAAAACTGATTATAAAGGATGTTATAGCGTGAACTCTAAATTTGGATAGCAAAAAAATAGAAACAAATAAAATATTTGACAATTATAACCAGCGGCATAATTCTTTTTCAATCGTGATTTTAGCATTCATTTGGCAATTAACAATCATTTCAAATACAACTTAGTAACTTACGCGCTGTATGGAATTGTTTTAAGTGGTTTAAAGTGATAATTATTTTCGGTTGCCAAAATTGACTCGAAAAATTGATCGTCATCCATGGTGGAACCGCAAAAAAACCTAGTGATTCATATATTATTTAGCGACACAAACAAGTTTTACTGCATAACAATGTCAATGTTCTTCACAGTAATTTCGACGCAATTAGAAATGTATTCAATATTGAATGAAAATTGAGCCGTTTTTTCGAGCACTGTTAACAAATTTTCTCTCGCAATATTCACGAAATTAGCCTTTTCTCCAGAAAAAATCCTTGTTGCTGCAGTCAATACAAATGAATTTTAGCTTTGTTTCTCTTTGACTCACTGGCTGTACTTTGTTTTGTCATTTGACAGTTCGCCGAACATCATCGCATATATCATTGTGTTTGCGTATGATTGTGACTGGGGTGCGTTCACTTCATCGCATTGAATGTCGTTCGTGTTTTGACGTGACGGTTATTTTGAATATTTTTTAGTGAGGAAAATATAGAATGTATAACTGCAGACATAAGATTACTCATTTAGGTTTTTATGTAAAAAAAAATTTGGACACCTTTTATCAGACCCATTCAATGAATAATGCCCAAAAATAGTTGAACAAATTGGTGAATAAACGAAAACACATCAATATTCTGAACGAAAAATAAAATGCTTGGAGACATTTGGATTTTATTCGAAAAAAATAAATTCGGAATAAACTAATAGACATAATTCGCAATATATTTACTTTATAGCATTAAATATAAAATTGGTTTTTGTTGTTGTTGTTTCATTCATTTTAGCAATAAAAATGGTTCTATTGTAATTTTAACAGTAATTCATCTGTATCACATTTAGTATAAATATAAAAGTAGATTTGTTCGTTAAAACATGTTACAAAAATTGTAATACAATAAATTTGATCGTTTACATGCTCAATCATATGGACAATTTCCTCAATAATTTCAACTAATTTGCACCGCCTATAACATTTCTACAAAGCGGCTGATTTTTTCATTTAAAATATACGTCTAATAAATTAAAGAAAAAACGTTGACTTTCTTTCGATAATAGAAAATAAAAATTCAACAAGAAATAAGCGATTCACATTGCAACTTATACAAAATAGTGCTTTTTTTTATACAATCAATCGCATCGATTCTATTTTTTGTTTGCTACAGACAATTTTACTACTGCTTAAAAATCGCCTGAACTAAACAGGTAGATAAAATACGTCTAACGACACTCTTTTTCTTTTTATTTAAAAAAAAAAAACGTCGAATTGACTTCAATTAGAACAACAAAATTGGTACTAGTTTTGGTTAATTATTATAATTATTTTTTAGCAAAGCTGTGTGAGTGAGTACGTTGAAGTTTGAAAAATTCGTGTTGAAAATTCGTTATGTTGTTTTGATTGGGAACACACAGAAATAAAATGTGGTAGGTTTGTGCTATCTATTGGTGACGAGTATAGTTACCACAAGTCTTAGAAAAGTTACCACACACACCAAACTATTACTATGCACAGCACACATGCATTTTTTGGTTGGAAAATTCTCGGAAAAGTGCTACTGTGGGAAATCGGGAAATCGGGAAATCGGAGAAGGTTCAGACCAGTCTCAATCGATCGGGCGGAAAATTGCATGTGAGGTACCGACCCGATGGGTGATTTTCAAGCAAAAAAAAACATCCATTTCTGAGATAAATGAAAAAATTCGGAAAAATCGGCAAGTTTTTTTCATTTATCTCAGAAATGGATGGTTTTTTCGCTTGAAAATCACCCTTTGGGGTCGGTACCTCACATGAAATTTTCCGCCCGATCGATTGAGACTGGTCTGAACTTTCCCCGATTTCCCGATTTCCCACAGTAGCACTTTTCCGAGAATTTTCCAGCCAAAAAATGCATGTGTGCTGTGCATAGTAATATTTTGGTGCGTGGGGTAACTTTTCTAAGACTTGTAACTATACTCGTCACCAATAGATAGCACAAACCTACCACATTTTATTTCTGTGTGAATATCAAAGAGAGAGAGAGAGAGAGAGAGAGAGAGAGAGAGAGAGAGAGAGAGAGAGAGAGAGAAAGAGAGAGAGAGAGAGAGATTTAATTTGCACTTCTATGTTCTTTTGTTATAATATAGAAAAATATCAGGTAATATTTTGTGTAGGTGAAGAGAATTATGGGAACGTATTGAAGAGAGGAGTCATTTGTAGGCTTTTAATTACATTTACTATATACTTGATGTATTAATATTTAGTTTGTTTCAAGTCTTTTGCGTTTCACTAAATACACTTCCATGTTGTCTTTGCCTTTGACAAAAACGCTGCCGCGCGCCTCAAATTCGTACAGATTTGCATCCAAAAATGGGATACAATCTTTGCCCACTTGTATGCGTCCAGCAACGCCAGTTGAATCCATGCGACTGCTCACATTTACCGCATCACCCCAAATATCGTAATGCAATTTACTAGTGCCTATTACGCCAGCTGTGACGTCACCGATGTTGAAACCAATCCGTAGAATTAGATCGAATTCCAGTAAATCTTTATTGAACGCGGCCACCACTTCTTGCATGGCCAATGCAAATTCCATGAGAGCATTTATATGACTATTACTATTCTGATCACGTAAACTATTATCCAATCCAGATGCAGCCATAAATGTACTTCCGATCGTTTTAATTTTTTCCACACACGCAAACTCCGGTCGGCTCAATAGCTCGTCAAAATCTCCGATTAATTCATTCAAAACACGAAGATATTCACGTCCGCCCAGATACGATTCATCATACAATTCATTAAAATTGATTAACGACGCGAATATGATGGCCACATTGTGATGATTCTCGGAATATTTGGCCGTATTCTTTAAATGATCGGCTACATGCTTCGGTATTATATTCTGAAGCAGTAGATCGGCTTGATTTTTCATTTGTTGAACTCGTATCTTGTCTTTTTCCGCAATTGAACTACTATAAAATGCAAATCGATAGAATATTTCAAATTCACGATTCAAAAACCACACCAACACTAAAACTAATGTCAAGTCTAAATAAATTTCCAGATCAATTTTCTTCTCGAAACAATGTGGCTTTCGTCGATCACTTGAATCTTCCGAACGATTCGCAAACGATGTGCGGCTAAAGTTATTTCTCGTTCCGTCCGAACTGATAATCAATATTGGTTGAGACGAATTTTGTTGTGGCCATGCAGTTGATTCAATATGTGTCTGCAGTGTTGACGACCATTCGAGTTGACTCAACGATATGCCGCCGATGAACGCTAGAGCGACAAATACGGCTAAAATGCTTCGCATCCAACAGTTTAGCTGCGTAAAATTACAAAAATGCACAATACAAACGATCATCAAGAATCCATAGTGGCATCCAAACACTGATCCGTCATTTGTCACACTCGAAATGAGAAAATGGATAAGGGTTAACACGGCGGGCAGTGTCATTAAAAATCCCAGCGATATGTGCCAACGATACCACGTTGAAATTGAACCGATAATTTTATCCTCCAAATACTTTTTGGCTCGTAGCGATGTCGATGTGATTGAATCTATCGTCAACGATGACATTGTTATGGTGTTTGATGTGGTTTTCTCCAAATTCCTCTTTTCCACTGGTTCGGCGACAGGGATTGGTTCATTTGTTTGCATTTCGGTGTCTATGAATAATTTTCGTTGATAGAAGGATTTTTTGCGATTTCGAAACAATCGTTTTGTGAACAATACCAGCACGCATAGTTCAATCAGTGAAACTAAACCGAATGCACACAGCCAAATCCATTTCAAAGGAGTGTCCTTGAGCTGTTCCGAAGCGGATAGCAGGAACATGGCAATTGATACCGTTGAAAATATCACAACACCGATTAAAATGTCAAAATAGGTGTTATAAATCGGAAATGCAATCGTTAATGGGCCATTGCGTTTGTTCAACTGATGCGCTTCGGCACGAAACTCCTGTTCCATCAGCGGCGACAGAAAGAATAGCGATAATTTGGATAATGGCGGCGTTACGAGATAATTTTGTTGTGATTTTGCATTCTCTTTCACACATCGAACGAGTTGAAGATCGCTTTGTTTTCGAATCGGATCCAGATGGATTTCGTCATTTGGCGGAATTGCGATGGTTGATGAATGCTCCGCAGACATTGGATCATCGGAGATGTTCGACACCCACGAAGCCAAATCGCCGGTCGATAGTCTCTCCTGTGAAATTGACGTGTGATTGGGCGGCATATCTGGCACATGCAAATTATTCGATGTTGGATTACAGTACTGCGAATGCTTTCTACCGAGTGCATTCGGAACGCGTAACTCATTACTGGAATCACGACCCATTTTGCTCAAATGATCTTGACTAGTGAGTGCAACTGTTTTTGAGCGTGGTCGTCGCATTGGTGACACATCGCCGTAACGATGCGATCGATATTTACACGAGTCCGCTCGCTCTGGATAAAATGGTGTTATATCGCTGCGCGATTGTGAAATGTACGAACGAACATCAATGATGTCGGTGTTATTTATGTTTGTATTCGATCTTGGACTTGGTGAACAGCTTGGCGTACACTCTGCCACACTCCCATCCTGTTCGATCCCGATACCAATACAGTTACCATTATTCGTACTTTGATCAATGGCATTCAGAGACGTTGCTGTATCGGTTTTCTGTATAATTATCGGCAACAATTGATATGACTGATCATTTTCAGTCGCACGATTAGCGTCAGCTGAGCTTTCGTTCATCGCACACTCCTTATTACATTTCACGCTATTGTTATTGTTGCGGCTCTCGAATTTCCGCAGATATTTCGGAAGTTTCCATTGACGCAGATTGGCTGCTATCGACTTATTGTCGACAACGACAGCAGCATCAGCGGCGGTGACGTGTTGTGTGGGCATTGTAATCGAATCGCATGTTTTTGAATTATCTGATGACATCACATTACGGTCACTGTTTTGAAGACTATTTGGTGTCAATGAATTTGGACAACAATTCAAAATCGATGGGTTCGTTGATGTTAAACTTTCGGGAAGTGATTTCGTTGAAACGAATATTTGCGGCGGTTGGGGTCGTTGCTGGTTTGATTGATCTTTGGATTGAGTAGCACCACCACCGCCGGAGCTGACACTGGATCGAAGGTAACGCGTTAGTTTATTGAATGTGGTCGTTCGACATCGATTAACTGACGATGCTGCACCCGTGGATAAAGCCGATGGTGACACCGAATCATTTCGTGTTACAGCCAAATTTGTCGCGCTTTGGGATATCAATTTTGTCGCATTGCTTGCTTCATTTTCGCCATTAATTGCAATTGGAACACTTAAATTTAAATCATTTGGTCGCAGATGCTCATAAGATTTCGTTGATTTTCTTCGTATTATGTAATAGGTTTTCAGTCCTGTGAATGAGAAAGTGTGGGTGGTTTAGTAGGCATTCATTTTTTTTTAACGGTCGGAGTACACTCGGCCTTTTTTAATTCAATAATAAATACCTTCTATTTCTTCTCCGGGTTCGGAAATGTATTTGTTTTCCAAGAACTTGTACGTTTTCTCTGAAACGTGTATTTGTCCGGGTCGACCGGTTGACTCCATTCGATTTGCCAACGAAACGTCGTTGCTCCATACATCAAACTTAACGCGACGCGTTCCAACGATACCGCATAAGACGCTGCCTGTGTGTATGCCAACTCTCATTGTAACACCCTCCTGACGCTTCGTGTCAAACCATCGCATTGCCGCAATCATTCCGATGCCCATCTCAACGCAGCCTGGCGTAGAATCGATTTTTTATTTTCAATAAAATGAGATTTATTTGGATTAAATTAAGAATATTTTCGGTACAGAAACCCATGAAAAACTTACAGATCGCATGGTCAGCTCTGGGCTCTGGGCAACCACTCACGCAATAGTAGCAGTCGCCAAGTGTTGATATTTTTTCGCAACCATTTAAAATGCATAATTCATCGAATCGTTCAAACAGATCGTTTAAAATTTCCACCAGTTGCTCGGCGGTTTTTTTCGATGACATTTTCGTAAACCCAACGATATCGGCGAATAAAATGCTCACATTTTCCATGCTGGCCATATGAAAGGGTCGAAACAGGCACTTCACGTTTCCAGCTGGTCCAAACATTGCTTGGTCGCCACTGCTGCGCTCCTTCAACAGCATATCGGCCACTCTCGGTGGCATCACGCTGTGTATCATTTTCTCTTTCAACTGTAAATGAACCAATTAAAATTAAAACTCCTTTCCAACGGAAATCGCAATGTACGTGCGGAAAAAACCAAAAAGAACAAACTAATTACTTGTTTTTCCATCTCCAGTTGCCGCTTAACGAGCAGATTTTGTCCAACCTCAATGAATGTACCGCGCATTCGTACCACATTCATTATTAATATATGTAATCCGACCAAGTGTACGCACAAATGAAGCATCAGACGCATCGCGATAATTTTATAGTTGATGACTGGGCTTATATCATCCGATCGTAGCGATCCAATTTCAAAGAGAATTGAATAAATTGCGGCCAGAGCACAGTTTTGCCACAGCCGAAATGGAATCATTGTGTAAATTAGGAGGATTATCTCAATGCAGATGCTAAAATGACCGAGCGGACTGAATAATTCGATCGATGTGAATTTGAGAAGGGTGAGTGATGTACCGCACAGCATAGCCGTGGTAATAATTGAAACGAACGTTGTGTGAATGCGATAAAATTTTGTGTAGGTCAAAAAATAGAATAGAATAGATGTCAATAGCACCATCACATATGACGTGTACAAGGTGATTAGTTGCATACGTGCAACGGACGCTTTCAACACTGAGAAATGATAGCCCAGCCATATCAATGTGCTCAAAATTACGTAAATCAAAGCGTATCTGAAAGAAAAAGAAACACACCGAGACAAACAAACAATTATTCACGATTTGCCATGTCATTCAAGTGGTGTTGCAGCTCATCAAAGCTCATCATACCGATATCTGAGGCGGATTTGTGGAAAAGCGCTCGATTGAAATTGACCTTCTAAGATAATGGAATCGAAGCGTGGATTTAAAATTGATTTTGGTGCTGCACGCTCAAAGGCCATCGGAAACAAAATGCTGCAGCATGATTGTCGACGATGATGATGATGATGATGATGGTTGTTGTGGTGTTGAGATTGGAAGATTGCATGTTTGTATGGCACGAACGCAACGGCTTGCAGATCTTCATTCGAAACATGATTCAATCGATAGCTTGATAGCATAATGTTAACACACACTTTTGAACAAATTACTACTCAAACGATTCTAATTTAACTGTGAGCTGCTACGTGTTCCGGTCGTTTTTTTTGCTGTCGTCGTTGTTATTGTTTTGGTTGTTGCTGCTCAAATTTTTCATTTATGTTCTCACATCAAGATAATCTGAACAAAAAGAGAGTGGAGAAAAATGTACATAAGTACTTTTAGAATGGAATATAACAATAATAGTTTTTTATCCTAAATTGCCCACAGCAAAATTGAATTTCATTCACAGAACATTGTTCGTTACTATCTGGAAAATATTTGCTTTTAGTAAACCCGTTGAATGAACACAAAAAAAAACAAACAAACTGTTCTTTAATCAGTACAGCATTATTTCAATTTATCTGTTTGGAATTTTTTTCGGCAATAACAACAACAGCAAAAAAAATACTCGTAAAATTAATGTTCAAAAATGATATATTTGTTCGAAATGCAACAAAAAATGGCACTGAAAACGGTATGAGCATTACCTAATGTGGTTGTGAGAAATCAAAACGCTTATTCGTGGCCAGCCAAAATCTGTAGTAAATCAACGAAATCAACGGTTGACGGTGTTGAGTGGAGGACGCACATACTCCATTATCATCGGCCAACTGATAAAATAACTTTCGATTCGATTTTTCCTTTCCGTTTTACAATCACACTTGAAAACAAACTCTCATACGCAAAACTATCGCTTACGATAATGTCTCTTATCCGATTGGTTTGAATTTAATGCTTGCTCTTGACTGAAGAAGCCATAAAATATTTTAACAGCATTAATAAAAAAAAATAATCGGAAAGAAGCGCGAGCACAAAGATTAAATGTGATTTATCATTCCATTTGCTTCGGACCACTTATACGAACACTTCAGATTGTGCTGAGGTATTTTGTAGTTTATTGCAATATATGTTGTTTGGTCGATTCTCGTGTGATTTGTTATATATCATGAATGGATATTAGCCGGATGTTGATAAGATTGAATCTAAATTCTGAAAGAAGAAGAAACATAGAACAAATTGAGACACTTATTCTCCATTGTTTGAGTAAGTTTATAAGCGACCGTTAAACCTCTTTTCCCATCAATCAATATAAGAAAAAAAAATCTTCAAACACTTCAAAAAAACACACGTACACATACGAATTTATTGATATCAAACAAAATTACTCTAATTTTGTTTATTCAATGAACACTTTTGTTTCCATTTAACAATACATTTGCTAAATCAACTTGATTATGATCTCCATTTCAAAGAACGCTACGTTGCAACGGCTTTAGCCTAAATGATGGTTAAGCAAACGGTTAAATTATGTGTATTATGCAAAAAGCAAACAGACGAACGGAATAGAGAGTGTTCGTTCAGTTCTTTCTCAATATAACAAAACACGGAGTAAACTTTTCATGAAACACACAGTCTAAATATTTATGTTTTCAACACAATATAAACGGATTAAAAAATAAATGTCACTCTTGGGACTACTAGGCTATATGCAAATATTTTCTTTGATAAATGTCATCGCACCAGCAAAAAAAAAGAGACGAGAAAAGAAATTCAAGAATCAAGATCAAAAATGACAAATCATCTAAGGCCAATAAATGATATCGGTTGATTGTTCAAGTTCACCCAATGAGCTCATGGAACACTCTAAACTGCACAAATGTTGAATTGGTGTATACTGTACAATTTTGTGTTGGGCGACAATTTATTATTACGCCATTGAGAGCGCATTTGTCGCCAACGACGTTGATTTTCTATCGCAATAATTAGGAGCTTGTCAAATAAACAAAATAAACCGCATACAAAATTATTCGCGTCATACACAGTTGGAGACTAAGAGATTATAAAATGTGATAAGAAAGCGTTTTTGTAAAGCAGCAGCAGCAGCAGCAGCCTAGCTGCAGTAATTTTTGGCCGTAGACATAATTAAGAGCAAATAGATAGGGTCGTTTGTATACCATCGTTCGAAATGAGCCAACAAAATTCCTTACTTTTCCGTATAATCGTTGGCATCTAATCTTGAACATTTGTCAACACTTGCACACACACACACACTAGCTTTCGCACTGACGGTGGAAGTGACTCAAAAACACGGCAGACGTTAAAATGAAGGCGAACTACAAATTATCAATGAAGGCGCCTTCGAAAATATTCCGTTTTTTGCCCACTTTTCAACCGTATTTCCACTTAAACGATGGTTCAACGACGAATACACCATTCAAATAAATTTACTTGGATCAATAGATTGTTGAATAAAATTCAGTTATTTTTCAGGTGATGTGGTATGGCCCGGTATGGTACTCTTTGTTAAACACTCGTTATTATACTTTGCCGTTCACTTTATTTTTAAATTGTAATTCTGTCGCTTGCAAATGATGTGGTGCGCTTGGGTTGCTTCTTCTTTGCTAATTTATCACGCGAAAATCTTGTTAAAAACCTTCAAAAAGTAGATGGTATTCTCTCGTCACTTCAAGTTCACTGAGTGTGTTGTCTGAATATATATTCATATCGAAGGAATCGCCTTCGAAAATCAACGCGATTGTTGTGCAGCAGACGAACTGAACCTCATATCGATGCTCATAAGCCGAAATAAGACACACGAACCACAGAGACGAAGGAATAAAAAGAAACAACGTTTTTGATAGCGCGCGCGATTTTTCGTACACACAGCGAGAGACAGTGAGTGATACAAACGCGCGAGAGAGCGGCTCGAAAGAGAAATGATGTACGTTCGGTTGCGAAGCTGTTTTGCTACTGCGCCACACAGTTTCGCTGATGTACCAACTAGACACATAAACATTTTGCGTATATTATTATGGCTTTAGTGTGCCACTGGATAAAAAAAAAAAAAAAAAAAACAAAAACGAAACAACACTCGCTCTGTGGTGTCTGCCACTTCTGCTGTGTGCTTTTCAGTAGGGTGTTCACTGTGCTGTGCTATTTATTTAATTTGTCCGTTTACATTTTTCCATCGCAATTTTTTTTAACCCTCGTCGAGTCAGCGAACAAGTACTTGATACCGAGACCATTATGTTGTGAGTGAATTTGGTTTTGCTTCTTCCTAGTTTATCGAATCTTAAGTGAACGCCTTGAGACTGATTCTTTCAAGACGTTGAGAAGATTATTTGTCTCTTTTTGGAAATGGTCGCCCATCGACGTACGGTATTCATGTTAAAAAAATTTCGGCCGATTCACTCAATTTTGTTGTACATAGCAACACTGGTTTTTGTAAGCGTTTAAAAATCGTCATCAATTCCAGACTATTTTTACATTGTTGCTTAAACCGTATCAATTATTCATTCAACGATATCTTCTGTCAATATTTATGAAGCAATAATATATTTTCACTATGGCATTTCTTTGGTCTTTGTTGTGCGATTTTCGTTTTATTTCGTTGCCAATAATCACGATTGAACGAGTTTTGATGTAACAACGTTACATTGTCGACAAGGTATTACTCAGCATTAGCGGTCCCTTTTTCTCTGTCGAGCGTTGAACGCATTAATTTTTATTTCATCGTTATTCATGAGAATGAAAAGCTCATATTCTAATGAATCTCGCTTCGCATCTCTGGTTCCATGTTCGGAACTCTAGTTTCCAATTTCGTTTTTAGTTAACTTAATTAATTTGCTTGAAATGTTGACGTTGGGTACGAGATTTGATTACACAGAGATTTTTCATCCTATCATGGTCTTCAACACTTAACATCCACCACAGATTGGAGTGGAGCAGATGGAAAACCGGAAAATACTAATTGAATTTCGCATCAATTGATTTTCCTCAGCGGTAATCAGTGTACAAACACGCATACACAAAGCCGTTTTTGATGAATTGGATTATCCGATATTCGCGTGTGACAGATGATGACAGAACATAGTAATAGGAATTAGTGGAAGGCTTAATTTCTCCCATTATACTTGACTTCGCTCGCATATTTGATTATGAATCAATTTGAATATTCACCTTCATGGAGTTTTGGTACTCTCAGATTGCTGTATGTGTGTATCATTACTTTTCATTGCTGCAGCGATTCGTGTCGGGATCAATTAGACTGGTTTATTGACATAGAGCGACAGATAATATTCAGTGGAACAGAAAAAAAATAAGCACACAAAATTCGAACGAAAACAAGCAACAAAATTGAAATAGCTCAAACGCCATCGAGACACACACGTAACAAGTTACAACTTGTAGCTATTTTTTTCGCTCTGTCTCTCTTCCTCTCTATTTATTCATAATCTACATTTTTTTATTCGTTTCTGTCGTCTATTGCACTCTCAAGCGTCTCTGCATATGTCTCTATTATTGATTTAAAATATTTTCACAGAATGTGTTTATGGCGTTCGCTGTTGGTTGTTGCGCGCGCGAATAACAAGAACATTTTGATTGAACGCTGAAGGCAAACAGACAATTAGAAAAACACACATACACACACACACGCACGCATGAAGAATTATTTATTCAATGATTTTCGACATTTGTTTGGGAAAACGTACATTAAGCGCATTTAAATTGAATCGAAAAAGAGTGATTGATGGAAATCGGTGAACAAAACCAAATGTTTGCTATCGAAACATCGTATGTGAATTTCAACCAGAAAACGGAACATAAAAAACCCAAAATAGCAAATGGGAAGTAAAATTTAAATATAAATCAAATGTTTGGAATTAAAACTATATGCTAAAATGAGGAGTTTTAATACGTGCCACACTACTACTACTAGTTCATGAGCATGGTCAACCATATAAATAGCAAAATCTATTTTCAAGTCCGCAAATTTAATCAAAAATAGCATTTTAAAATGCTTTGCACAAAATGTCATGCCGTTGTCATGAGTTCGGAATGAGTATGGAATTGCTCGAAAGCAGATAGATTTCCAACTGATATGAATCCAGAACAATTCTGAAAGAAAGACAGAGAGAGAGAGACAGAGAATGTTACACGAGAATGAAGAATAAAAATTACGAGACTATGAATTGACACAAAATATACAGTACAATTGATAATAACACATGACTCATACATAACACAATGATGGAAAAAAAATATTAATAAATATAAATAGCACATGAAACCGGGAATGACTAAATAGTCATTTGGAGCCAGTGTCTGCGGTGCTGTGTGTACACTGTAACAGTACATGCCATACAACCAAACAACCAAACAACCATCGTCATCGTAAACGTAATTGATCAAATTGGCATGATCATTGATTTTGATGGCATGTTATTACACATATGAATGAGCTCACACAAAAGCGCGTTGGCTACATTTCCATTTACATTCGATTGTTTTCTGTCGGTCGGTCGGTCGGTCGGTCGGTCGTGTCATGTATTTTTCTCTCTGGTGGTTTTTATTTTTTCATTTTTTTCATTTTCAGCCATGCTCATTATTGTACTTCAACGAGAGACCGAGAGGGCCGAATCGATCGAAATAAATGTTATAAATGAAAGTCTGTGCACTTATTTAGCCATAAAATGATGTTGTTTGCCTGCAGCTGGAACGCCTACGTAATTTTCAGTGACATCGAATGGGCAATCGAAAATAAACAGAAAAAAAACACGAAAAAAATAGCAGGGATTTCATTACAACGAAGATAGAGTGAGAAAGAGAAATTAGCGATTTTTTGTTTGTGTGTTAACACACTAATTGCATTAAAAGTAAATGGGTGACGTTTATTCGTTTCCACTAAATTCAATGACTCCAACGCCTATTTTGACATTTTTGTTTAGATCCAATGTATCATTCCTCTCTTTGATTTCGTGGAATCATTGTAAATGGAATTTCTAACGCTCACCCCAACATAGAACGTACAGTTGCTAGTTGTTGTTGTGATTGTTTTTTTTTCGCTTCCACATTTGTGTTGCTCTATTCACTGTGATTTAATTGAGTGACGAGAATTTAGTGAGACATGGAGAATGCCGCACAAAATACCATGGACATGGAATGCCAAATGTGTGTCAGCGAACCGTCGTGTCAGCCCACATGCTACAGAAAAGGTTTCTTCCACACTCCACACCACTCACTCTACTACAGCACAATTTCCAAGTACTTTCACATAATTCAATTCAATGAAAACAACAACTCTTCGTTCAATCGTCAAATCTCACGCAAACGTCCCAAAGATTACTTGAACACAACTTTTTTTTCATTCGATTCGCGTTTTTTACTTAAACAATCTAATACCCGAGTTCTTTATTCGCATGCTTATTATTGATTTTTTTTCCTTACATATTATTTCGTCCAGCGAACGCATGTTTTAAAAACAGGTTTTTTTCTTTCAAGAAGAAAAGGTTCAAAGTATGAATATTCTTTTTTTTTAATTCCTCAGGAAATACTATCGAACATTTTTGTAACGTAGAATTTTTGCTTACTTGAACTTTTTAGTTGTCACTTCGATGCATACTCTCTGAATAATATAACAAAAAGAAGACGCCACACTAAAACTTTCGAATACTACAGCACGAATAAAAAGTATGACAAAAATTCAGCGGTCAGTAGACAGGACACAAGTTAAATTCAATGACATTAAAATGAAGTACGAGAAATACATCAGGAAATTTTCTTCATTTTTTATGCACACCATTTGTTTTTTTCCACACAATCCGCACTTTTTGAACACACTTTTGCACAAAAATCCATCGTACATGTCACAAAAGGAATTAGAAAAAAAAACCATACAATAAAAACGGCAAAATTCTAACCAAAATTAAATGAATGGTTCTTTTTTTTTAAAGAAAAACTCGTACAAAAAGTGTTGACTGTTCGGTTTTTTTCGTTCATGTCAAAATCAAAACAATGTTTTGACGTTGTAGAACGACACACGATGAAAGAATACGAGCAGCAAAAGAGGAAAATAATAAACTGATGATGTTGGTGTTATTTGCTCTATACTCTCTGGGCGCTCGCTGTACTGGAGTGTGACGGACGACGACCGAATGGCGTGTGTAAATGTTTTGAGCGCGCGTGAGTAAATGTTTGTGTATGATATTTCTCTGTTTTTCTTGTGGTCGTTTTTGCAATTTTTGACATTTATTATTATTGTTGTCGCATTCACTCTCTCTCTCTTGCTCGTTCGCCCAATGCTCTGCCTCTATTTCTCGTTCCAGAGACAGAAGAGAGAACGTTGTTATTGAAATGGAACAAACACTGGCACTGGCACTTCGGCACTCACTGGCATGACACATTTGTGATGCATACACATGTGTGTTGTGTGCCGCATAGTCTCGATTCAAAAACACAAAATAAATAAAAGAGATCTTTCTCTTTTCCTCGCTTTTACGCTTACACACATTGTCTGTGAACATATACAAATACAAGCACACACAATGGGCAACGAATCACTAATAACGGCAAGAGGGCATACGGCGAATGCACGCATTCATTCGCGGCAAAGTGCTCTCAGTTGCCTTAGTTCTTTTGGATCGTTGCTCCCTTGCGTTAGCGTAACATTCGACGTATACTGAACGAAATGCGATAAGACTCACACAACAGATACATACGACACAAACAACGAACGAACGAATGAACGAACAAAAAAAAACATGAAACGCTCAGACAGACAACGATCAAAGAGGAACAAGAGCAAAAACCAACTACGGAATCGAAATACATTAAGCGTTGGAAATTGAACGTTGTGGCGCTACATTGAAATTTTTTAATTTTTTCCCTTTCTGCTTATTGTTTACAGCTGTTGGTTTAGCGCCGTTCATAATATCACAAGACTGAAATTATAATTGGGGTTGAAGCGTTGATAAACACTTCTTGTAATTCTTGGAATTTTGCCGCTGAGTCTATCATTTAAGTGATGATGTACTTCATTCAATTAAATACGATTCAAATCTAATAGACAGCGCCACTTTGTTTACACTCTTGCGATTTAACGGCCGTGCAAATTAGCGACCGATGCCAATATGATGTGTATACATCTACTAATTGATTGAAAGACGAACATTTTGTCCGTGGATTTTTTTCCCCGACTCTGGGCGAATTTAACGACTTTGCGCGGCAAGTACACTTGGGAAAATAACATTGAACATGATTTTGAGATGTGATAACAAGCATTGATGCCACTTGCCGCCTTTTCAAGATGGTATTGCATTTTGTAACAGAAAAAAAAACACGACAGCTAACGACCCATTCGTGTCTTTTTCACATCATATCATATGCATGCTGTACTTTTCCTTTCGGAGAGAGAGAGAGAGAAGCAGGGAGAAAGAGAGCGAAAAAAATCGTAAGCCACAGACGCCAAACATTTGATAACGTATCGTCTATATAGCACCAAGCGTTTTTCAATCTATACTATTTCATCGGTCAGTACAATCGAGAATAGCAAGCGTCGTCTCTTAACACAATCGGTTTAGATGTCGAACGAAGCGCGGACTTTTATTGCGAGCGCATTTTTGCACTTAAAGTGCTTTTCACATTCTAGTTTTGAGCTCAGCATACGTCCACTCATTAGTCGGTCGGAATTTTCTCAAGGATTTCTTCACCACATTATATTTTTGACTCAATTTGCTTGTTTAGTATTAATTTCTTCAACACTTCAATCGTGTGATCGATGTGGAATTTGTGTGAACAAACAATTTTCCGCTTCTTAAACTACGTTTAATACACGACCAATAGTTTGTTTTTGATTCACAGAGAGATAGAGAAAAAGAAGGAGGGAATTGTCGAGCTCTCTGTATATGTTTGCCTAGCTCATTTGATACTAACCAATTGGTGTGTAGAAAAACTCGTTCTATCTCGATTAAATTAGATTAACTACAAAAATATCGTTTCCATGGCATTTTTAGAAATATATTCTGAAGGAAATCAATTGAGAATTGAAAGTATACACATTTTAACAATGGTCGCCAACGCAAACACGTACTCTAAAGGCGTCTAAAGGTCACATACGCTTTTGTCTCTTTTTTTTAGCTTCTAAAAGCTATCGCATCTCATTCATTGAGTAAGGCTTTTTTTATGATACTTGTTAAAGTCTAATAGCTAGACAAGCAGACATATCCAAACATTGAATAATCGTCATCGTTATTCAGCATAATATATTGGCATAAGAAGAGAGATTCGCAATTCCAATCTGATTTGAACTTGAATTCTTGGGCGCAGACCATGGACTTGGCATAGAAATCGTAGACAATTTAATTTGCTCGGTCTCTTGAACTCTAGAATGGTTTTCTAAACGTATAATAACTTATTCTAAGTGCTTTCCTTTTACGCACGAGGCAAAAATTTGTGACAACAATTTGACCGCGAACCGCAAGAATAAAAAATAAATAAATCCGAATGTTTTTTTTAACGCTGCTAAAACCATTATATCCACTTAAATGTGAAGAGATAATGACGGGGTGGATAATCTCATTTAACAGGCTGTCTATTACAAAACGTTCTCAGCTAAATGCCAGCTAAATGCTTAAACACACATAAAATTGATAAATAATTTAGAAATGGCACAGGTGAATGGAACAACGAGCATGTTTTAATACACGCGACAACCAGAAGCAACATCGAAACGAAAAGTTTATTCGAAAGATTGATTGAGCCAGAGTGCCGAATGTATTTGATGTTTTATTTTCGATGCTGACAAAAACTATTCATCGCCAAAATCAAGGACGATTCACTCTTGTCGATTCATGATTTAAAATTCAATTCGAACCACTTTTAAAAACTAAAACACTTCCGTCCATAAAAAAAGAAGAAATAAATTCATTGGAACTTTAAGTGCTATGTGCTAATTGATATATGTTGTATACGTGTAGCAATTTATAAATAAAGTTATAATTCCCGTCAAGTGTTGATTCCACACTGCATAAATGCTGCAGTGATTCTGTACGCACTTAAAGTTGTAGAAGAAAAAAACACAGAACCAAACCTGATTTCCACCAATATTGTTGAATTATTATGTTCCAATCGAGCTTAATAAGTCGCTTGATCATATTAAGCGGTCAATTATGCGGCAAAATACATTTAACAAATCCAACTGAATAAGTTGCTGCTTTTTTTCTGGTCCATTAATTTTACTCACAACTGAAAGAAGAAAAAAACGATCAAAAAGTCGAATGTGATTTTTCTGTTACAAAACAAAAAACCCCAATGAGTTCGATACAGAACGATTCAATTGAGTTTTTTTTCAATCGACCCCACCGCTTACCGACTCTACAGCCAGAGAGCAAGCTGTTTACCCGAATGCAACACGTTATCGACTATCGTGCTTCTACCGACTATGCACAAGTATTGATTACATTTCCTACATTGCATCGCAACTAGTTGAACGTCGCAGACTTTGGTGCAAAACACAGCAGCAACGTGCGGCCGTTCTGACACCCAAGCTATTTTACAAGCAATTTATAGTCACAACAGAAAAAAATTGATTAAATTCATCCATTCCGCGCACAGCAAATGTTTTCTGCGCTCACGTACACATATATTCTATCTCTCGGTGCTTTTAAAAAAGATCTTTTGGAATTCCATGGTGGAATAATATTGACAAAATGATGTGTATATTATGAAAATGAAAGAAAAAAATCCTTTACGGATTGAGTTTCATATCATTAGAGGAAAACGCAACTATTCTATGCACGGTGTTAATGAGCAAAATTTTATTTGCCATTGCATTTGAATTGAGTTTCGAAACCGCTGCTCTAATAAGCACTTAACTGGGTTATATGGTTAAAATGATGAAATGTTAAAGAAGGAAGAAGTTTATTGATCACTTCTAATTAGAACCTTCAAGCGTTTGCCGTTGAAATGGATGGTGTACGTAATTGGCGTTGCCACAACGACCTTTGACACATAATTCTCTATCGACGACGTTGAATAATAATGTTCGAAAAGAGAAAATGAGCGACAGGCTAAACTATTTGTTATAGCTTTATGCAATAGCTGACGCAAATACATTGTTGAGTATAGTGACTGGTGCATACCGTAACATATATATATTGTCGATAAAATTTACCAATCAAATTAAATTCAAGAAACAAGTAACAAGATCATATGACTCGTTTCAAGCTCATGCATTCACCTCCATTTGAGCGATACACTTTGATTAAACATTAATTGCAATACATGCTTTGTTTTTTCTTTCGATATTATCTCTTGATATATTACACTGAAAGCTATTTACTCAGACTCTCTCAGTTGGGTGCCTCTCAGTGCGGTTTTTTTGTTGTTGTTGTTTTTTGCGTAAAACATTTTTCATTCGCTGAAACACCACATTTTCTTTCTAATATCGTGTAAACATATCACGCAGATTTTTTTTTGTTTCGCTTTTCATACATTTCTGACAGTGGAATTATACGGTTTGATATGATTAATTCGATATGTTTCCAAGAAAATTATCGAGCATGAATTGAGACTTGTAACCTTTTAATAAACATACCGTATTTATATTGCACACACACACATGACGCATTTAATCATATTTTATGTTCAGAATGAATGCGATAAAATATATGAGCTTATTTCATTATTATGAATGAATAGATGCAATCACAGAATTAATTCGAAATTCATTGGTTATTCCAATGAATAAATTAACATTCGTACAAATTGTATGCACAACAAGCATATTGATATCAGATATGATGGTCGCATACAAATTGTGGAAGTCAATGGCACTATCGGAAAGTGGTAATTGCGATAAGAATATTAGTATAAATTGCTTGTGTATATGGGAGTATTTGATGAAGCCTTTGGAATTTTTCAACATGAATCAAACTATCTTCGAACATACAAGTGGGGAAATGTTGAACAGGCACGTGTTGCAATGATGCGAATTTTGTTATTGTCCGACCACTTTTATTTGATTCAATCATTTGATCAAGATAGACGTTCGTTGCGGTGCCGGATCTGTGTAGGTGCAACCTGTGCGTTTGCACGGGACGGAAAATAGCTGAAGCAGCAAATTCGATACAATCGTACGGCACAAGGAGGATTTACACAGGAAGACACTGCTTTCAAACAGCTTCCAAATCCGGCACCAACGTCCATTTCGCGATAACAATATACTGATTATTCCTTGCTGGTAAACGTATAAATACGACGACGCATTGGACGAAAAATTCATTGTAAGTCTACAAAATGAAAGCTCTGGTGTGATTGTTTGTGCTACTCGCTTTGGTTGGAATCAATCAAGCACACTTTGAAACAATTTTCGGCAATATTACGGGCCACGAATTTATTGGTCGTAAAAAAGCATGGATTGAAGTTGATCCGGGCTCTAGTTCAGCAGAAATGAGATTCACATTTTCAAGGATGAGGTAAAATCATTTCAAATGCGTAATAATTATGAAATCCATTTTTAGAAAGGTGAAGCTCAAACGCATGTTCAATCACTGGCTTTAAAAAAGTTGATGAAACCAATTATGAGCGGATATTATTTGAAATCTTAAGCGGAGGCATTGATTTTACTGAGATTCAAGTAAAAATAACTTTGGATTTCATGAAACACACCATAATGTCTACATTTGACTTCTACGGTGATAATGTTTGAATGTACTACGCAATTTTAAAGGACGTCCTATCGATTTGGAAAATGAAATACTCCGAAATTGAGATTATGCGAAGTTGACTTGACGTAATACATTCCTTAATTCGACTTGCACGCAATAGCATATTTTGTATACAATAAATTTATTCGCAAATTGAATGCAAAGTGTCAGTTTCATATTTTGGCTATATGTATTCCCCTTAACGCCCGCTGCTGTAAATCTGTTTCATTAAAATGATAATGATAATCCAATTGTCCAGGGAATGAATTGCCGTTTGATGCCATTAACATGGACGAGTGAAACTCATTATTAAAGATTATTCTTATCAACGGAGTCTTGCAAAAGGTGACTGATTACGTAATCGAAGTTCATTTGCATCGAAACGGCTTTTGAATGTGATTTATTTTTAGCATGACAAAAGTCAATGTTTACATCCGAATTTCGAGCGATGGATCGTGATTTTGGCATTAAGTATACACACAAACACCAGCACAATTGCAAATTGGGAATACTGAATGAAAGTGAAACTCATCGCATGGCCCATAAAATATTCATTCGAAGAAAACGACTAAAATAATGAAAACAACGTTTTTTTTCCCCTGCAATCATTATTATACCAGCGCTGATGTGAATGTGGAACGGAACACGACAAATGGAATTATGAGCGCATTGTAAGGAATGCGACAAAATATTCGGTTGAATAGCTCTTAAACTATTTGCAGCTTTAATCTAAGTCGGAATAGAATTTATGTGACTGGTGTTCCAGTGTGATGAAGAACGGAATACGAGTCCGTATTATAAATAATACGCGTCACAATGTTCCCTGCTAAGATTGTGAAAGAGAATTGATGCGATAACATGGTCTCATTTGTGCTGTTAAAGGTAAGGGGGGTTCTTCAGCAGAAAAAAAAACTATTTTGCATAAGCATTTTTTCATTATATGAATTTGTAATGCGATTTCCGAACAGCCTCGACACGAAACGTAAATACACAACAGCATGTAGTCAAATATTCATCACGACCACCACCACCTCAACAATTTGCAGAGCAACATATAGCGAAGCAACGTGCGATTAATATTCTGTTTGTGCCGTACAATTGAACTCGAATTGATACAATAAATTCAAGCTTTAATTCAGCTCTTCTGCAGTCCATGGTCAGAAGCGGATAGCATAGCACATGCACACAATCAACTCACACTTCAAATCTCGCTTCGAACAGTAGGTAGTTAAAGGGTAAAACTTGACTAATTCTTTGTTTCATTATTCCCACTTAATTCGGATTAAGTGCGATTGCTGTTAATGCAATTTACAAAGAATCATTTTTATTGAGTTAATCAAAAGTAAAAAAGTTTTACGAATGAAAAAAAAAGAAGAACGAGACAGAGATTAGCAGCAGCAGCAAAAACAGAAATTATGACGGCAGCTGAATGTGAATCCGAGAGTTAATTAAAGTCTCGTTGAAACTAATGACAAAAACAATCGAAACAAACTGCTGTGTGCAACATTAATTTGTCGTTTATTACTTGAGTTTTTTTTTACTTCTTCATCTTCTCGCTCGCTGTGTGTCTCGGTATTAATTTCTATCGCGTTCAAGTAATTCGCTCAGCACGAAGCTGAATACCTGTGATAAAGTGTGAATCTGAGCGAGTCTGAAATCGAAGAGGGGAAAAAAATGCTAATTGTTTCAATGCTATTCGATGTGAATGAAACGATATCATGCAGCAATGAAAATGTGAACATCGATTCGCACACAACAGGTAGTTACCAAAGTTTCTTTCGCACGTAGCGAACAGCACTGGCGATGAAACGTGCACATCGTTTCGATTCGTACTACTTTTTGTCATATTTTCTGTTTTACCTCGACGGTTTTTTTATTCCACACACACACACACAACAGCAGCGGAAAAAAGATATTAAAAACTACAGCCATCGTGACGACGACGACGACGAAGTTGACGATGATATATAAAACAAGCACAAAGCTACGAAATATGTAAAGCAAAACTATAGAGAGAATAAAAAGCGAACCAGCACATTGGCATGAAGTTTCACCGAACGAACGGAAAGTTATCGTTTACAAGAGCGATACAGCACGTGTGTTGTGTGCACCACACATACACTAGCATACATATTGTTGCAGCTCATTCGAAACGCTTTTGAAGTGAATCGAGAGACACACAGCACACCGATTGAAGACCGATGAAGGCAAAGCGAAGCAATACAACCAGAAAACAGACACAACACAACACACAGCATAACATACGGTGCAGACGAAAAAACCGCATCTTCAGGTCGTTTAAAATTGATGTGCGTTGTTATTTTGTTTTAAGTTGTGCATTAAGTGACAGCGACTACACATAAGTAGCGTCAAATTGGTAAGCATTCAAGCATCCAATACACAAATCAATTCATTTCTTCTTCTCTTTTTTTGTTGTTGTTGATCAAGGCGAAAACTTTGAATATGATTAAATTTGTGCGTCACTTATTGCTGTACTTAAACGAAGCATAAGAGACATAAAATCCATAGAAACTATCATTAAAAGTTTTTCTGTGTACATTTTGTTCGGTGGTGCTTCTCTCGATCTGCAACGAACAACAAATCAATCAAACCTTTGGTGAAGGTTGTTGTTACTCATTGTTTACACAAAACTTGGGACAATAGTTTTTGATCAAGTAAATGTTTTATCTTTTTTTTCAAATAAAACAATTCAAATATTTAATAACGGCAAGTTTAAAGTGAATTAAAAAACTTTTGTACGGTTAAAAGTGAACTGGACAGTTTTTATAGCTTCTTCTATGCATTGTGACGAAAAAAAGAGTAAATTTTTGTCATTGTTGCCCGACAAACATTTCGCTAAACCGATTTCGTGGAAAGAAAGAGCAAAAAACGACAAAAGAAAATGAGATACGGTAGAAAAATTAGAAAGTGCCCAGATTTTGCAAAGCAGTGTATGGAATATATATATGTGTGTAGACGATATTTGTTTTTTTTTATTTCTATTGTGTGTTAATCGTGCAACTGCGCCTTCTTTCAACCAAACCATGTGAATGAGTCCATCAATTGTATTAAAATAGAAATGTGTTTTAATCAAAATGCGCACACCACACTCCATTGGATTCGATGGTCCAATATTTTTTTTTGAGCTATAGTCTGATTTTTCTGAGATTTTTCTGCTTCTTTTTCATCATTTTTACAAATGCCAATGGCAGTTGCCATTTATGTTTCGGAATAAATGTGTCCGTTTTGAAATTGCATTGATTGAAGAGTTGGTTTTTTTCTGTGGAAATTAACTGTACCGGTTTGCTCATTTACAGTGTATTTTACCTAGATATAATAGTTACAAATACCTATTTTTCCTGTTACGGCAATACTTTACATCTCTTTTTTTTCTCTCTCTCTGTCTCTCTATTTGCGAAGCAAAGCAAATAAATCGAAGAGACGCCACACTATTTAGCCCATGTAATACATATTGATTAAAATACAATGACACAGCTACAGCATAAAAAACACACAGTGAATAACAAACATTCCATCTGATTCAATTGATATTCAATTAAATTGCTCGGCACGACGTCAAACCGATGTGCGTAAGTGTCATTTCATTCATTGTGATGACCATTTTATTTATTGTGTGGCTTAAACTCTGCGCGACATGCAAAACAATTTCAGCATTTTATTTAAAACGAACGAAAAAAAAACAAATCGACATCGTCTGCTTATGACATAAGTTTGCTCGTTTTGATTACGCATCACTTGATTTCTGTGTTTTTGCTGCTTCTGCCGCAAGCGATTCATTTTTTTTCATACCAAACCCATTATCGTCATTTAATTTGTGCAAAGTGGAAAATAATGTTTTGAATAATCTTCTTTGAAATAGCATAGGAAAATCCACAGAATGATTTGCATCTTTTAATGAAACGCCCACCTGATGGATTCAAGAAAAAACAGCCACTCGAGATTTTACAAACGTTGATAATTTTGTCATATCATTCGGATTTATGGTCATTGAACATGAATCGTTCAATTAAATGATATAAATTTAGAATTCATTAGTGTGTTATGCTTCCATGCATGTTTCCATCCTTTGGCAAATGCTTGCCTATGACGACAATAAGAATAGTACGCTTACAAAAACAATTGACCACGATCTTTCCGCATTTCCGATAATCTACGTAAAAATGATTCGGTAGTTTGACCCAACGATATATTAAATGAAAAAAAAAAAAACTTAACAACGTCAAGAAACAGCGAAAGTTCGAGATAAATCAGAGTTGAACAACTGGAGTCGTGTTTTATTTTAAACGCTTCATGGTCGATTTTTTGTTGTTGGGCAAAAGTTTTTCATTTTGATGCAATGGAATTGATATATACATGTGTGCAAAGTGGCGAGATCGTCGAGCAGTTCGACAAACCGGTTCTGTAAATGAGCCAATAAAAACCTATTATTAATTTATTTTGACTTTCTTTAACACATTCAATGCCACAACCGGAAATTAGTCACATGTATCGAGTGAATGCACCCGTAATGTACGCGGACCCGATGAACCATTAAATTTCAGTTTCACTTTTGACTCCGATAAAACTGTGCTGAGAACGTGCATTACGTGAATGAAACTGCGAATAAAATGTTGTCGAGTTCTCGAAAAAACAAACAGTCTGAACAAACAACATGAACAAGCGTCAGCGAATTCGGGCAACACGGTTGACGTTGTGATTTGACCGACTTTTGATTGTTGTCATTTTTACGTAGCACAACGAATGAAAAAAAAACTCCCATCGCCAAAGATGCGACGACAACAACAACGACGTCGACCATAATGACGACGACAAACAAGCACAAATACACACACACACATTGCTTTATCTTCATCATAATTCGTCACGCTAAAGCATTTCACGAATCTTTGATTTTCCTTTTTAAGTAGGGTTACCGTAAATATTTTCAACAGTTTTATTTCTCTCTTCTCAGCGTTTGCAGCACTCAATCTCTCGAAAAATCAAGCGAAAGTGTATCAATAAATTGTTCGTGTGTGTGTGTATGTGTTGTTTGAGAGTGAGTGTTGAGTTTTATGAATAAACAAAAAAATTTCATCCAAAACTTACATAACTCATTGATTGACCAATGATTTGAATTAAGTTTCTATTAGTTTTTTCCGTTAACTCGATTTTGACTCGCCCTTTTTTCCCCTACTCAACTCAAAATCACCAGGAAAATTGCAGCTGGTCAACCATTTAACAACAGTGTGACGCTTTATTAATTCGCATTAACTCATTATTCGTATTGTTTGAGTTTTTTCCCAACGGAAATGAAAATTAATTGGTTTGATATTTAAATGGTGGCTGTGCACAACACGCAAAGCAATGCAACGCTATTCCAATTTAATTGCGTTTCAATAACGCTTTTTTTTCTTTCATTCGACTTCATTAAATACTTTGAAGCTTTTGTTGTTTATTACAACAACGGCCGAAAAAAATGAGAAAAGACAAGATCTAAGACTTCTAACGCAATATTTACGAGTCAATTACAAAGTTTTTGCAAGAGACCTTTATTCCAAAATAAATTCAATTAGCCAATATAAGAAAAGATGTCTATGGAAGTTGCTGGAAAGATGAATATAACTCAATAAAGACAGTGAGTCTTCACTGAAGACACAAAGTGCTCCATTTTAATACATTTTTCATTCTTTTATTCACTTTGTATTCGGAATGTAATGCTTGTTGGCGGTTTCTTGTTAAAGACTCATTCAAATCAGCATGGAAAAGTCATTAAAAATATGAAAATGTGCCGTGCATAAATCGGATCAAAAGTCGTAATTTGGCTCTTAAGTTAATTTCGTCTGAAACCAACCGATGGAAAATGGAAATTTCGGTGTTACATAAATTACGCACTGGTATCACGACATAGACAGTCAAGCATCTCTTCATCAAAGGCCATACCTATATTATTTCACTGTAGGATTTAAATAGAGCACCAATCAAAGAGGTCGTTCATCCATGAAGTTAAAGTAATGTTTTCTCCTTCTTACGGAATAAAGTGCACATCTCAAGGTTGTAAATGAAATTTTTGTCTCATCCCACAATCAATACGTATATGTCAATTCCTACAGTGAATCTATATCATTTGATTTGAATTCCATGGAAAAATTAATAGGAATAAAGTCGTGATTTTTTTCCTTTTAAAATTTTACCATTTTTTCTAAGATTCGATTTATCCAAAGAGAGTGTTTGTGTGTGGCAAGCCCTTTGCGTTTCCGCTATAATTTCTATTTGATGAAAAACTGAATCAAAAACGTGTTTTGCTCATTTCACACATCAATCGATGTTAAAGTTATCACCGGCACAATCTAACACACCGACCTATGTGTATGGAATACACCAGCAGCAACGCTTATACCGTTTCGTAATGCCGGCATATAAAAAATGTGTCAATATTTTTACATCGACAATGATAATCTTTTTTTTTGTAGCATATGAATGCCGTAATAAACGATCAACAAGTTTTGTGTTTTGAGTCGCAGCTCTTTGAATGATTGTCTGTCTTTAGTAGCAATCTAGCAAGTTTAGCGTGATGACTGACGATTATGAGCTAATATGTAATTACAGCATTAGAGCGAGAGAAAAAAAATAGTTGATGTGACCAAGCATTTATTTCTGGGGCACATTGTGTGCAAATTCCCTCTGGAAATGTTTGTTAAATCATTATCGTCATTTTAAATTCGCATCGTAGATTGTCCCACCTAAGCAATTGAACTTTATTGCTGCTCACTTACTTAGCACATTCAATTGAGGCTGAATCAGAACGAAAAGAAAAAAATTGGATGAAACACACATGTTGAATACAATTTAATGATGATGTAAAAAAAAGTGTTTCAATTTGTCGATTCGAATAAATCGATACATCGAATTTTATTGAAGCGAAGTTTCGATTTGCGAAAAGTCGTCAAGAGTTTCTCTGTAAACACATCATCATGCAAATATTGTGACAATATAAACGAATAACGATTCCAAATTGTTGTTGTAGCACCAAATGACGTCAATGTTCAGGAAGGAGCGGTTGTTGATGGTGTAAACACGTCGCAGCTTTTATGGGAAATTCGATCAAGAGGATTTACATTTTTTTAAATGTCATCCAAAGTAAGCACACAAGACTGCCATTGAGCCAAAACAATGAATTTATAATGTTTCCACATGCTATGTGGTTGCCTCCAACACCATCAAGCTCGAAGCAATCGCATTGTCCTTTTTTCCATCGAGAGCGTTTCCCCTGCTCGGGAAATGTGTCTTTGAATTAGTCGACATTAAGCAACTTTTCTAACGAAACAACTTTCTCATCGAACAACATTGACTACATATGATTTTCCCTTTCATATCAATGTGGTGATGGGTTCTCGTCATACGAAATAGAAAATTTTTGTGGCGTTGTCATGGTTATGCGCTACGTTATCATACCATTATGTGAACCAAATCATATGTTACTCAATGCACAAACAATAGAGAGCGAGAGCGAGAGAGATGACGGTGAGAAATGAAAATTTGAATAATTGAAATGACATTTAAAAAATTGCCATTTGCCACTACACAAAGCAACCACCGAATATAGATGGAAATCGTTGTCGCCTTCGTTGTTGACGAAGTTTCTCCTCATCGCATACACAAACAAGAAAACCATTTTATTTTTAACCATTCGACGTTGTTTTTCTGCTTCTAGGATATTGAGCACGCTACTGGCCATAAAGGATGGATAGCCGCCAACCACAGTATTGATATGGACAACAACGTTTAATGTCGATTTCATTGTCCTCAATTTACAATTGGATATTCGTCACTCAACACACAGTTCAGAGAGAGAGAGAGAGAGAGATACAGAAAGAGCTCGATAAAAAGCTTAAGTGAAACTATAAAAGAAAAAATCAAACAAAATAAAAACCAAGCCAAAATTCATATAAATGAATGTAAATAAAGTGATTTCAGTGTTGGTAAAAAAAGTGATGAGCACGTGCGAATAACATAAAGCCAATTGCCAAGAGCGTTTACAGCAATACTATCATCGAACCAAACGAAAATTGCATAACATGATGATGAATGTGAAGCGGCATTTTGCCTATCATTCGATATTGGCGTGCGGTTTATTTGCAATTTTAGCCAGTACCGTTGCAAAGCCCTCATTTTCACTGACGCCATCGTTGCCTTCATTTACATCGTTCACACAAGATTATGTCGGTCGCAAGCATGCTGCACAAATGAAAGGCTACAGGTATGGACAGAGAATAGAATATACATATTCATTCTATCTCACATATATATTCATTTCAATGAAAACAAATTGCATCAATTTCCACCGGAATCAATTGCTGATATAATAGCTTGATTCTTATAGAACTTTAGAAGAAGAAAAAATACACAAATCGTATCTCTAATATCTATATTTTTCGATTTTGCCATTGCCTGCCCCACGTATAGCGGTATTCGCCAGCAAAACGATTCACTCTTAATGATTTATTATCATGACCAAACCGTGGCAATAGGTGAGTTCATTCTCTATCTCTGTCCCTATAAATGCATAAGACTTGTCTATACATGATAGTGTCAAAGATGAGTGTATTTGATATCGATTTACTTTCATGAATACATCATTTGATAGCATTGACGTTAGCATTTAAGCAAAAGTTCCCCGACATATACACACAAAATCAATATCGAGTAAGATTTTTCGTTGCTATCGACCAAATGAATGTGCACTGTGCACCAAGTTCAAATCAATATCAATCATCGTTTTAATGCCTGTATAAAAATAATATCACATTCTTTTCGCTTCTTCTCTATTTACAGTTGAACTTGGCCCTGAAAAGCTGTTAATAGGCTGTGAACTAATTGAAATTTAGTGAGTGTTTCTCTCCTTTTTTTATTGAAGCAATTTCACGCACAGCTGGACAGATCCCATGATGGGATTTCTACTCGACCCATTGAAATACATTCCAATACCGAATTCCAACCGTTTGCTTTTCTCTCTCTCTCTCTCTCGCTCTGTTTCTGCCTCTATCTCTGTTCATTCGCAGCAATGAAAGTGCCGGGAAAAAATTGCTCAAACAACTATCGAAAATAAACCGACCGTTGGAAATCCAATTCACTGACATGCTGAACCTCATGAACCAATGTGATATTGTTGAAAACCAGAATGTGAAACGTAATCAACGCCGTAATACGCATCCCGCGAGTGATGAGGATACCAGCAAAACGTTTGCATTTGGAAAAAACAATCCATTCTCGGTGTTCAGTGGAATTATACCGGGGACAAAATGGTGCGGCACTGGTGATATAGCAACAACGTATAACGATTTAGGTGAGTGATTTTCGTCACGCTGCTCTTTGTTGCCCTCCATCTGAATATTTGTTGGAAAAAATTTCTTCGTTTTTTTTTGCATGACAATAGAATCGATTAGTGAAAATACAATAAAAGTAATTGTACTGATGAATGTAGTAAAAAAACCGCACAAAGTGAAATTGATTGTGTCATTCATTCATTCAATTCAACAACAGAAGAAGAAAAGTGCCATTAAATATGTCTCTGCCGAAAAAGTAATAAGACCGATGTGAATAATATTGTGTCCTTCTCACATCCTGTTGACTCACTTATCAGTCAATTATTTTCCCACACTCACTCACTCACTCACCCGAAACACCCGAAACACCCGAAACGACCGTCAATGCTGTCCAGCCGCTCGTCATTTATAATTTATGCGATCGATTTCCCCTGAACACTTGTCGTATTAAGACCTGGCAATCGAACAAAGTGACGTTCTCTATAAATAGCCGTAACAAAAGCAACGTGTCCTTTTGTCATTGCGTTTTCTTTTCCAATATGCTTAGATTAACTTTGTGGTTTATCATCAGGTTAAGAATGCCATCTTTGTTATTAATATCTAAAAATCTTTCTTTGTATTTTTCTAATCTCTATATATAGGAACTGAAGAGAATATGGACAGCTGTTGTAGGTAGGAACAATTTCACATAAAATTTTATTGAAAAAAACAATCAACATTTTTATTTTTGTTGCATCGGTTTTCAGAACCCACGATTTATGTCCAGTGAAAATCCGCGCCTACGAAGCCAAATATAACATCACAAACAATTCGTTGTATACAAAGTGAGTATGAATGGCAATTTATGTATTAAAAAGCGTGTGCATTAACAAAAGCGACCAGCAAAGTTCGTTGAGTAAACAGAAGAGAGAGAAAAAAAAGCAGAATCAATTCTGATATGTTTTTGGTGTAACAAACCAGCAACGAGATGCGAATGTATCAATTAAAAGCGTATATCAAAATAAAAAGTGAAATTAGTTCCAATGGAAACGTGATTTATGGTCATGGCAATATAGCCACTTGTGAATAGCATCGACATTCCGCCACACTCACTCTCGTTCGTTTGTTCGTTCGTCAGACAGAAATCAATAAGACAGCACTTGAGCTTTTGATTTTGATAGCAATTTAATAACCTGATGTAGATTTTATGGCATTTTTATTATCGCAAATTCCAAACCATTCATTGTTCTCTATCTCTCTCTCGCCCGCTTTGTGTGTGTGTGTGTTGTGGCTTCACTGGTCTAGATCGCATTGCGTGTGTGATGATATGCTGTTCGACTGTTTGAAGAAACTTGATGATACACCGGCTGCACAGCTTATGGGATCTATCTATTTCAATATTGTGCAGGTACGTGTTTCCACCGATGCATGCGTTATGGCAGCGATATCGCATCATGAACATCTCAATCACTGTCATTGTTCGATGTTCTTTATGTATTCCTCATTATTTACACACTCCTCGAGTGTCTCTCTCGCTCTCTATCTCTCATCACACATATTGGTTTCACATATATATATTGTGTTGATATTTTTTGCATTGTTTATTTGTTTTCATTTCATTTAGGTGCCGTGCATCCATGAGACACCCAAAGGCATTCAGTATCGCAAAGCCAGAGAAGGTTTCTGAAGCAGAATTTTATTTATCAACTTAAAATTAGTTATTAATTCAGTGTAATTTATCAATGGAATCAAGTGCCGTCCAGAGAGAATACAAATCTAATCGCGCTGTTATCTGTTATATTGATATTATTGTCTAGTAAATTGTGGCTAGTTTCTAAGCAATTTTCTGTGTACTATATTTGTTGACATTTTTTTTTTTGAAGTAAATGAAAATAGTATTGAAATATTTTAAACAAAATGACACTCACAATACAACGAATTAAACTTGCAAAGTACAAATATAAACGACTATTCTAGAGAGAAATGTGATTGCGTGTTTTCTTTGCGTTCTTTCAGTTCTTCTTTTTCTTCTTACAGCTTTTTTGTTTTAAAATTTGATTCTCTTCGTATTTTTTCGTTGTTATCTTTTCGTATTTTTTGTTCTTTCACCTTTCGGGTTTTTCCACAAGAATGGGACTTTATAATATCAAAAAAACCTTTAAATTAATTTGCGGTTAATATTCACTGTTGCAGTTTGTGTTTACGTTTCATCAAGTTTGAAGCTGACTATATTGTTTACATCCAAATTCAAATCGTGCACGGTATAATGCCTCGAGCAATAAATCGAAATTAATGAAATAGAAAGTCTGTGGAAATACACACACATATACTGTGACTCTAGATAAGAATGCAACTTTAGGAAAAGAAAATAGAAAAAGGCGCACAAAAACTGAATATCTTTGCACTTGACTCAATAAATACAAGTCCAAAAAGCTGCAAAATTCATTGAAAAATCGCAATAACGCTGTTTCTCTTTCCAACTGAATTCAATTCAAATTTTCGTTCATATTTTAGAACAATCGTGTGTACGATTGAACGTTTTGCATTGAATGCACGCATCATATTTTGAACGTGAACCAATTGAACGCACTCATTTGTTTTGACAGCGAAGGTTATAGATTTCTGCAGTCATCAAAATATTGCAAAAAATAGAAGTCAAACAGAGAAAAGAAAATAAAACAAAAACAAATACTGTGGAAAATTTGCAAGTTGAAACGAGAAAATTTGTCATTATTTAGATAAGTCGCACAGTTTGTGTTCTGAACACGGTTCGTTCGTAGTGTCTTTGTTCGATGTGAATAAGCAAAAGTGTGATAAAGAATTTCACCACCAACTTAAGTGAGCCAAAAAAAATGAATGGGTAAACGAGAAATGAAACCGAAACAAGAGTGAAAATTTAGTGCAATTTTTTTTTTGAGTGACCTTTGATCGTATTTTCGTTTAAATTTATATATTTCTGTAACGCATCTGTTTAAATGCACCAAAAATACCCACTGAGTCAACATGACCAGCCAGAAACAACGTTAAAATGTTCATTTGTGTAAAACAACTCACTTAGCGAAAAAAAAGAAGGGAAAACAATGTTTATCCACATTTTATGATATTTATTGAGATAATCAAAAACAAACCAAAAAAAAAAAAGTTATTGAACATTTGCGCATCAACCACGAAATGAATGTTCTCCATTAGTCACATTGGGATAATTGGTGTTGTGTAAATTAGGCGCAGCGGACGAATTTGTGTAAGAGTTTATTTTTATTCGCTTTAATGTTACCAATTAAGTTCGACGATTCATTCCGAAAGTGAACCGAGACAGCGAATACGTGTTTAATAAATTCTTCTTCTTTTTTTTGTTCAATTTTCGAAACGTCGAGTTAATTTCCAGTGACGTAAATCGAATGTGTTGTGTGTAAGTACAAAACAACGCGAATGAAAAGATAAAAGGAATGTAAATTGTGTATAAGATAAAACTACAAATGTCAACTACTAAAAATATACGTTGTCATCGTCGTCGATGTTGTTGTCGTTTATGCATGTGCACTTCCATACAACTGAAACCCTCAGACCAATGAACGAGCGAGCGATCGATTTCATTCACAGAGTCATTTACTAACAGAGACCGAAGAGAGAGAAAAAAAACTTCAAATAGAAATCAGCTGTAGACACATTGTTGTTGTTATTGTTGGCCACGGTTATCGCACTCTATTCGCTTTTTTGTTGGTGCTGTTATTATTGAATGTGTGAGACCGAATCGTCGAAAAAGTGCCTACGTGCGGAATCTCAACTCCCGATTCGAATAGATTACGAATAATAGTAAATATAACAACACACAAAATTCGGTTGTCACAGTTGTATGTGTTCATTTCTTTTCACTATTTTCGCTCGTATTTTTGGTGGCATTGTCTAGCTATGCTCTTCTCTGTGTGAGTGTATCCTACATATACACATACACTCACACTCACACATGTACAATGCTCAAAGTCAAAGCTGTCTGCTTTCAATGAATTTCCTAATCCCCACGAAAATTATTCAATATTTACTTTCTACACACATTTTCTCTTTCATTTTATAGTCGACTGTATCATATAGATGTTTAACCGTTTTGGTGCTGTACGGCTACCACAAAATCAACAGCAGCAAGAAAAAAAAAAGTCACCAATACAACGACCCAAACGTAAAACGTACTCATACATAAACACAGCGTACGAGTGTGTGCGTGTGTATAGTATTTGTAAATATGACGGATGAAAATAGTATGCCGCCATCGATCACGTCCACCACTGGCTTCGTTAGCGAATACAATACAAGCGGTGTGAGTAGCAGCACAGAGCAATTCATCATTTGTTGTAAAGTTTGTGGCTCATTGAATGGTTTAAGACGTTGTTCACGCTGTAAATCAGTCTATTATTGTTCGCAAGTGCATCAACAAGTCGATTGGAGGGTACATAAAATTGAATGCAAAAAATTTGCAACTAATTTAGCAACAAGTGAGTAAAGAAAAAAGTCTAACCGTTTTGTTTTGTCGGTGGCAAATGCATAGACATATTCGAAATTTCTTGAATAAAAAAATGGTGTTTAGTTTGGTGAAAATGGTGTGTGGTTCAATTGAGAGTTACTTCATATTTTATTCAAGATTCAATTGATATTTTGTGCTAGTGTATTTAATGAAAAATCCAATAATATTTTGTTTTTACACAATAGAACAACAATCAAACGAATCTTCAGACGCAACGATGACGGTGGAAACACAGCAGAATCATGATCGATTATTGGCCACCAAAAATGGAGTGACAAATAGTCTTGTGCCATCGACCAATGCAAATGGTGTGAAAAAGTCGACGAATGCACAGCAAAAAGACCAAGACCAATATAAACGCTTTACGGAGAATACGATGCAAGTGAATATCAATCTAATGGAGAACAGTTTGGCATCTAGGTAATGATAATTTGATCTAGAACAATTCCATCAAGAGACAAAAAAACACATTCAGTTGAGTTAGTCAGATTCGGACAGTCATTTTGATGATTCTTGTTGTTGAATTTTCAGTGAGCTACGCTATGATAGCTTATGCAAACAGATTATTCGTGATATGAATATGTACGGAATGTGTGTGGTTGATGATTTCCTAGGAATGACATATGGATTGGGCATTCTGAACGAAGGTAATAATCAATCAATGTTTGATGTTTACATCGGTGGCAAACGTTGTTTTCCGTTTCTAATCTCATTTACTTTTATATCTCATTTCAGTCCATGGATTGTACGCGGCTGGCCTATTCCAAGTAAGTGTCATTTATTCGAATCCAGGTGAATCGAAATGAGTGGTCAGTTGTTCTGATTGTGTTATCGTTTTTGTAGAATGGGCAAGTTGCATCGAATACGGATGCCGACGTGAAAACAATACGCGGCGATAAGATAACATGGGTAAAAGGTACTGAACAACATTGCCAATCGATTGGATTTCTGATAAATCAAGTGAGTTTTGCTAGATCACAGACATGTGTTCTTGAGATTCTTTTTTGTTTCGGCTGTGAAAATGAATTCAATTAACACACAACATTTTACACTCTGTGCGAAAGCATGTCCAAAAGAGAATGAGAGTTGATGATAGTGCCTACGTGACTAAATGAATTCAACATCAGATAGGCCAATAAAGTCATTTTATTTACTTTTTCGGCAGCTGCTTGTATTATAATACATAGGGCTATTTTTAGATGAAATACCAGTTATTATTTATATTTTTGACCACAACATACTAAAATCCCCCTTTTTTGTCTCTTGACATTTCTATTTCAGATCGACACCGTTGTGAGTAAGTCAACAAACTTTTTTTCATGTATTGATTCACTAACACGCATCGTTGCTTATCAATCGAATCGTCTTTTTTTTACAGTATCCGCAAATCGAATGAAAGATAATGGCATGCTTGGCGAATACAAGATACGAGAACGAACTAAGGTGGGTGTGTCAGTCGATAGAACAATATTCCAATGAACCGATATGATTTTTAACACAATTTTCTTGGATATTTTACAGGCAATGGTCGCTTGCTACCCGCCAACTGGTTCCCACTACATACTACACGTGGACAACCCGAATCGCGATGGACGCGTGATTACCGCAATTTATTATTTGAATCTTCATTGGGATGCTCTACGGAGTGGCGGTTCACTGAGGTTTGTTTTTTTTTCTTATAAGATTTACGTTCAGTTGTGTCACCGTTAATCGTCATCAAATTTATGTTGATTTATGAATCTGGTTATTCTGCATACTTCAATATGGAATTCAAAACATTTTTCCTTTTCAGTATCAGAAGCATTTGTTGATCAATTTCATTATAAATTGACCACCATTTTAAACGTGTATTGAGATTCATTGAATATTTCTCCTTTTTTCAGAATATTCCCCGAACATGGGCTGGGAGTAGCAGATATCGAGCCGAAATTCGACCGCATCATATTCTTTTGGTCTGATCGACGTAACCCGCATGAAGTGCAGCCATCACATCGAACAAGATATGCAATTACTGTGTGGTATTTCGATGCGGACGAACGAGAAATGGCTCTATCGCAGTACAAAAACTAAAAACACCAAAAAAAGAGAAAAAAAACGAACATCAAAATAATTAATTCGAGATTAAAATTTAGTCATAAGGAGTTTATGTAGAGTTATGTATTTTTTAGGCTAGATAAGATTTTAAACATTGTTGTATATAACAGATTTATTTAAGAAATGTATTATTGATTTAATTAACACGAAACATTTTTTTTGTTGATTTAATCACGTGTCGCTGAATACAGAACTGAATTTTATTTAAAAAGAATTGTATTTTATTCTGATGATTGTAATTAGTAAAATTGAGTGAAATGCAGAAACAAAGTTGCGATATTATTTCTCATCGAATTCTACAGTTTCTGAAGATGGAGTTGCATCATGGCAGAAGCATTTATAATGTTCAATGAACATTGTTCATTGTGTATTGCTCAACTTTCAAGGTGCAGAGCTCAGTACTAACTCATGCGAACATCTTCAGTCAGACTGAATTCAAGACGATTTTGTAATTTATCTCCAATTTACGTCCCCACCATTCATCTTAACTTTTTTCCACTCTTCTCGCCTCTTTCTTTCTCTCTCCCTCTTTTTTTTCTCTTTCTCTTGTTTATCTCTGCCTCTCTTTAGATCAAAATGTGTAAAAAGAGTAAAACTCTTGAGCACTTACAAAGTTCTAGGAATTGCATTTGAATTTCATTCATAAAAACCAACTCATTCTTGAGCATTTCTCCGAAGCTATTCTTTTAATCATCAACAATGTTTGTCTGCTTGGATTTATAACGTTTTATTTGATTATTTCACAACTTGTCACAACTTACTCAGTTTTTCGTGGAATTGCAAAACGACGTTTCATATTAAACACATTTGTTTCTTTTGTTTTTTTTTTTTTAATTTCATGGTACAGGTTTGTTGGTTTTATGTCTGCTTTGAACTTGAATTGTCTGCTGAAAATATTGCCCACGAACGTGTTCTGAATAAATGAATGAATAATTCAGCCACAATTTTATGAATGGGATCTTTAAACTTGGTGATTAAATGGCGGCTTCGCTTTTGATAAAACCTTATTCTTAATTTTGTCACACATCATTTAAAGTTGGTATTTTATTGCAATTATAGTGGGCAACATTATTCAAACCCATCACAAGAGTTACATGTAGGGAATTATTGTCATTTTTCTGGGAGACATTTTGTGGTTTTTAACCGAGGTAAGAACAATGAATATCCAATTCAAAAGTTTCACAAAGAATTAAATTTTGCCAAGAATTTTATAAATAAAATCATTTATTATGTTAATTTTGCATTTTGATGAACAAAATTTGGGCTTTGAAGAAGCAGCTATGTGCAAATGAACGTTTATTTCCATTCATTTGAATCCATTGAATACCATTGTGAATTATTACAACGTTGCATGCTGTGTGTTGTGTGCTGTGCACCATTCACAATACTTTCCGTTGCTTGATATTGCTCGTGTTGGCTTTTTTAAATGACTTCAAAATGAAAATTCAATTTTTTCATTGTAAATTATTAAAATCTACACCTTTTAAATGCTTTTTTGTAAATTTTCTTCAGTAATTTTCTATTTATTGTTTTTCAAATAGTTTTCCTCACAGATTCCAGGTCAAAATAACGAGTCATGAACGTTTTGAAACTTTCAAGTGGAGCGAAAGCTTTCAAAAGAAATCAAAATGACATTCCAATCATTTTGACATTTGAACAAATATTAATGTTTATTAGTCAGTCAACGCAGTAAATTAGAGTCGCCAAGTAATAAATTTCAACAGTTTGTTTGATTTTTTTTAGAAAAGGCAGTATTATTCTGATTGTTTTGACCATAAGTTAATTCCGATAAGTGGGCTACGTTCCAGTTTGTGCATCATGCCAGGAATATACGAGGATCAATCAGAGAATCTATCGCAAAATGCATCATCAGTCGAATCCGATGTACAACCAGCGGAGACGGAAAATGACAAACCACCACGAGAAACTGATCAAACCGACAAACTCAATAAGTTTCTACTAAAATCGTTCCTGCAACACATTAACAATCAATCGCCACCAGAGTCCGTCGAACCGAATTCGGATGAGGCCAACGATGACTGGAACTGATTCACTATGAATCATCGCCCGTCAACTAAGATCAACAGATACACACCCTGCCTTGTAACTGAGAATGTCAAAAATGCTGTAATAAAAAATCAAATCGAATATTCATTACACCGAAATAAAACTTTTTCTTAATAAACTTATAAAGTTTCCAACAAATATCGTCCTTGTGTTTTTTATTCATTTCTTTTATACATTCATTGATACTTTATTTCTATAAACGAAAGCAAAATTTGTATCGAATGGCTATTTATGAATGGAATTGAATCAATTGAAAGATCACTTTTCTTGCGCGTAACATAAAAGAGGCATGGAAAGGCATAGCGAAAACGATCAAGCCGTACTTGCACACAATTTACCGAGAAATAAAAACATCAGACGGCTCTTTTGAACGGCACTTTTTGAAATGTTCCTTTGTGCGTGAATCTTAATATGCAGAGTCTGCACTGCTGCAGACATACGAAGCAATACAGTGACAACCGCTTGTAGGACGGTTCTTTTTTATATTATTTTTTTGTTGTTGTCTTGCATCGCTTTTGAGCGTGTCTAATTAAACTGCAGTGTGGTCTTCAGTTTATTTCCATTCGGTTTACTTATTTATGAGTTTAATTCTCAAGCCACCGTTTTCAACTTAAATAAATAATTGGCTTGTGCGAGTTCAACTTTTCTACATTTATTCACTGAGTAAATCTCCTTGATTTGTTTGTGTAAATCTCTCTTGGAATGACAGATTTAGTTCGGAATAATCCTCCTTTTTCGACGTGAAATTAAAATTCTCAATCGAAACATTCAAAAATAATCCAAAAATCGAATCTTTTCCAAAATTTTCCCAATCCATTAGATATTCGATGCAAGAATAAATGCATTTTATTTTAAGGGGTGATTGAATAATTGATTTTAACTGCTGGATAGGCGTACACAGATTCAGACAGACAATCCTGCCGCCTACAATACAGACTTTGAATAATAAAATCGTGCACTTGCACACGCATTTTTTTTCATTTTTGCCGACACTCGGTGTGACGTGGAAATGCATTTTTTTCTGCCCGTTGCCGTTGCAAACAAACGGTAGCCCATGACGCGACGCTGTTAGATTTTTAATTAGCTCTTTTTCAATGCACTGCCATTGTTTACATGACATTATTGCAGTTTAAATGGAATTCGAAATATATTTATTGTTTCGAATTGTGTGCTGCATACACAAACTCTGTGCTACCGATTTCAGGGTGGTCGTTGATCAAAATTTCAACGAAAGAGACGAACAGAAAAAAATAAATCCTCGGCGCAGCCATTTCTTATTAAACTTTTTGAATTTTCAATTGTTATTGGCTCAACGACAAAAAACGAGAAAAAACAGAATGCACAATTGCACATTCACCATGTGGATATTGATTGCGGAGTCAGAGCGAATTATTACCGCAATTGGCTACTAAAACAATCAAAATTGTCAAGTAAATCCAATCAATACGAATTGGCAATAAATCGTGCGTTGTATGCATGCAAATTGACACAGAATTCGAACCAAGTGCTTGGCTCCGAACTCGCGAGCAAACAGCACCAAGTGCAACGCTCATTGTCTCCAGACACCGAATGCAGAAGAAAACCGAAAACAGAAGCGAAAAAGAATTACTTTATTGAAAATGTTGTGGTTGTCGTCTAAGTGAGCGCCAGCATAAAACACTATTTGGTTTATGACCACAAATAAAAGTCACAATTCAAATATCAAAAACTAATTTTCATTGAAATCATTACTGAGTCTCGCTGAAAATAAAATGAGCAGCAACAATCTTGATGAGAACAGGAAAACAAGCAAATAAGAACACAAATTTACGGCCGATTCGGAATCTATGAAAATAAATTGTTCACTTAAACCAGAAATATCAAATGTCATCCAAATCTCGTTTTTTGACAGAGATATTCAAATACCATCAAATTTTTTTTTTTAATTAGATTTACAATGGGGAATAGCCGTTTATAAGACTGCTTATTAAGCAGGTCAAGGCGGGTTTAAAATTCAAACTTTCGAGGCGAACCCTCAATGATTGTCGAATTTCGATGAGAACCAAGAAAGTTTGCTATTTCTATTCTGTTGGAATCTAAAACGGTTTCTAAGCGATGGGTTTGTTCAAAACCTCAAAGGATAAATTCATGATTATTTTCTTAATCTAATCGCTTGTTCGTGTCTCTGGAGTGACATTTCATTCCGATCCATTTGCAGAAACGAAGTTGAAATTGAATAAGCAAAGACGTTGAAATTTTGAACAGAGAAACACATGGCAATGCCATGTCATGGCATATTATCAGAAGCGATTGGGCATTGAAATAATTTCGGTTTGAAATGTTGAAAATAATTTTTTTTTTGATGACCCAATTTAATGATTTCCATTTGGATTCACCGCACTCCAGTGATAAATTGAAAACAAAAGAAGACGATCATCATTTCGTGTCTATAATTATTGTGTGCTAAATAAGGGTTTCGATTTTCAGCAAGTATACGTGGCGATCGGTGTTCTTTTGACATATTATGTTGAAAACAACACACGTTTCTTCCCCGATCAAAAATGTTCTCCGATTGAATCGAGCAAAATCCACCGAATGGAATGAACAACGAAAACTGGCTGAATAGTGACGACGTAATGCTGAAAAATTATAGGGAATAGGTTAGGCTGCATTTATTGAAAGGTTGAATGGATGGTCTCTAAAATCCGTTAAACATTTACTAAGGCGGTGAAGAAGAGGCTCCCGTCTAAAACAGAATCGCCACAATTACATAAATACATAATTATCTCGTGCGTACACACTCCAACCGAAGACAGAGAGAAAAACGCGTGCGCGAGCAAAAGAACGATCATTCCAAATGCACTTAATGACTTGAGTTGCAGGTGCTGCATCGCACGTTCATTGTGTGTGTATATCTGTTTCTTTTGTTGTTCAAAGCGTGTGTGTGCTTTTTTTCATCTTCTTATTCTTATCGTCTTCACTCACCCGATATACTATACTTCCTTTTCCAATATTATGTGCATTTAATCATTTATTATTTTTATTTCCTTTTGGTGTTCCGCATTCGCTGCTTTATTTGACTCATATGAAGAAATGGAAAAAAACACCATTCTTATTCAATTGCATAGCATTGTAACATGTAATTAAGACATAAAAGACGTGAATTAAATAGTTTCACTTCCAATTTGCATAGTTCTGTGTACACATCATGTGTGTGTGTGTGTGTGACCTCTTTGATTTCGCACGAAAATGTGCCAATTTGCAGCCCCGACCAGCATGCAACATTGTTGTGTCATCGAAGACGATCAATGTTCTTCTTCATTTTCACTATAATAACACCACACGATCGCTTCATTAAAAAACCACGTGCAAATTGCACTTTAAATTAAACCATTTTTCATTTTTGTGAGTGAAGTTTTATTATTAAACAGGTGATTTGAACGTTTGATTGACGTAAAACCTGGCACTGCACTTCATTTCCATTTTGAGTCTTTAATTTATTTGTCTGTGCTTGAGCCTTCAATTTAAATAAATGATTGTAGTGAAAAAAGAATAAATGCACGTTTTTCACTAGTGTTTTAACGAATTCTTTTCATATAGCGGTTTTGATCGTGAATGCTGTCGGTTTCATATGGGAAACTTTTTGCCGCTAAATGTCAGAAATAACACTTTAACAAATTAAGTTCTGTTTTGTTCATATAATTTTTAATTGTTCAACTTCAGTGGATAATTTTTTCGTGGATAACACATGCAAATGTTTAAATTGAACTAAAACTTCACTTCCGAACTGAGCAGAGAGACTCTCTCTGAATATGAAATCTGGTTGGATATTATGAAGATCTAATTAAAGGCATCCCATTTATTTTCGATTTTTATCCAATGATATGTCTCTTCAACAACATAAAGAATCAATTCGTACTAAACGAAGCAACAAAGACCATAAAATACAAAATATCATATAAAAATTGGGGATCATTCACTTGTGCACACTGTAAAATGACCTTGCGATTTATTCTTCTAAAGCGAAATAATTTCATAATAGCACAACAAGGGTAGTATGTTGGCACAACTTGTTTTTATTCAAAATGTTCGGCATAAAATTGTCAATTTCAATTCGAAGCGATTGATGCATGGTCTTTATCTCATGCGCTGCACGCACACACACACCCACGATTCGATTATTTGCTTTGATGGAAAATTTCTCATGTCATTAACTTTAAATTGTTTTTCGAATATAATAATCGATAACAATTCATTTGGTCGATTACGATTGGGATTTGCGTTTGCAGAGTGTGATTCAGTGGCTACCGCACATTTGTGCGACCAAATTTATCTCATGAAGTGATTTTTGTCAATTTTTCTATATAATAAAGTGAATTTGAGAGGGTTGATTAAAGACTTATCGGTGAATATGATTCTTCAGAATCAACTTTCACACATCAATGCTACGATATACAAGAAAAAAAAGGGTTCTCCTATGACCAACGTCACACAGTCAAATGGTCAATGTGGCAGAGAATAAATCAAAACAAATCTTCTTATACACATTCGCAATCATAATAAAAATCCATCGAACGTAATCTACCCGTTAAGCGAATGACTGAGGGACAACTGCCAATTTTTTTCTCCGTAGAAAATTCTCTTCCAGAAGAGTACACCGGAATTTGTTGGTGGGGAAAAACGTTAAATTTATTGTAAATTGAATTTTAACCTTTTATATATCAGCTCATGAGTTCTAAATATGTATTGTTGCTGGTTGATTTTCATTGGTATGTCCGCTCAGTGCCGGAACCCTTTGTCCACTATGGCTTTTTCCACTTGATTAAGCAAATCGGAATTATTCGACTCCTGCTGAATGTAATCTGAGCAGCTCATAGTGAAATCCAGAGTGAAACTCCTGCGAGTTTTTAGATTTGTAAAGGAAAAATTTCCATCGGTCATGAAAGACAAAAAAATGCAGAAGAGTCAAAGATAGGGAAACGTGTTGGCTTTTGGTAATTTTTATGGCATTTTGAATCGTGTTATTGAAAAGATTTTGAATACAAATTGATAAGTTTAAACATATCTTCAGCTCAAGGAGACTTCACCCTGAAAGATAGACTTCTGCTCTTTACTTTTTGGATACTTTCTTACCTTTGTGTGACAAGAAATGGGGAACTAAAAGTTAAAAGCCCACGTAGATGAACTGAATCATGCTGAAAAGTTGAAGAATCGAAGATTCACCAAAAGTTAACTTTTATCAGAACTTTCAATGAGACAGCCTCACCAATCTGAAACCAAAGTCACTCTTTTCGATCTGAAATGAACGCAGCAAACAAATGAAAGAAAACACAAATTGAATTGAATTATTTATTATAATTAATTTATATTTCATATTTTAAATTGTTCAATTGTGTCTTAAGGTTTCGATACAATTTGTCTGTCATCATCATATCCAAGAATTGTTACTCACTATACAGTACATATAATTGCTATTATTTTGTTACTAGAGTAAAACATTCAATATCTGGGTTTTCTGATGTGCTTTTTTTAGCGTAATTTGTTTTTACAGTGATTCTAATTTTGTAGCTATCCAGAAGCACATTGTTTTACACATCAAAACAGCTCCAAATGTTAGCTCATCATATAGTATAGCATTAATAATACTTCGTCGTTTATATGATTCATTTAAAATATACACAATTAAATAATCGCTCAATAGTTAATAGGGGGGAGGTTAGAATTGGGAGGAGGAGGAAGGGGATTGTGCGCGAATGCGAGAACATGTACGACAAATCAAACAAACCACAGACAAAATGAAAGTTTGTTTTTTTTTGTATATTTTTGTTGTAATTTATTATTTTATTCTTGTGAAAACATTTAGACATCTTAATTTGCTCACTAAAATTTCTTTAGATAAGGTTTTATAAACTAATGCTGATTTTTTCTTTCTGTCTCGTTCATTAATTTTCTCTTAATATTCTCCTTAATTAACGCATTTAAACAGCGATTAATCATCGATCGCATCATCTGCTTGAATGTGTTTGTTTGTGTGTGTGTGTGTTTTTGTCTAAAATCTATGTGAAATTGTTGAAATCATTTTGAATATATGTTTAGATTAATTTACATGACGTTTATTGACCACTAAAGACGTTTATTTTAAACTTTTTTTTTTCTCTCATTTCTTATCTACAGATTAATTTGTTTTAGATTGAACGAAATAAACAAACAGAAAAAAATGCTTTGTTATTTTGAAGATCTCGTCTTATAATTAGCGCAATTTTTCTTCTTCTCGAAAAGTTCATGTATCTTTCTGCCATTTGACATTCAAGCCGATAAAACTTCTAGATTGTTTTATGTATTATGTACACGTTTTGTTTTTTCTTCTTGTTTGCTTTTCTCTTTGCTTTGCCACTCCATGTTTTGCTTACAGTCTATGAACTACGTATCTATGAATATCCTTACAATTTACGCTAAAAAATATAAAAGGTTGTTTTTTTTTATACAATTATGACCTAAATCATGGGCTAAAAATGCTCACCACCACGCATTTTCTCGCTACTTGTATTGTGAATTTGGGTGGTGAACGTCTAGCTATGAGCTTTTTGGATGGTGCATTTTGCCCAGATTTTTCCATTTAAAATGTTTCATTTTCGATTTTTTTGTAAAAAAAAAATGGTTCACAATCTTTTTATTGTTTTTTTTGCCACTTTCAATGCATTGATTTGCGCACGAAAGTCGCACGAAACGTTGGACGTGTGTTTTTTTTCTCTTCTTTTGTTTTATATATATGGCAACTGATGGGCCCGATTTCTTGCCTGAACTCTACCGAAAAATCAATTCAGCAAAACTTATCATAAATATTTTGTATCATCAGTACGTTCGAATGATCAAAACGATTGTATCTGATTGACAATTCTAAAAGTAATGCTTTACACAATAGAAAAAACGATAAGATTGCACATCAAATTAAAACGAAAAACGAAGAAGGAATTATTGAGCAATTTAACGTCTCTTTTAATCGACTTTGTTTACTGTTTTTTGTTTGTTATTCGCTTCCGAAATGAATGACCAAATCCGTTACAAAGTAAATGCGTTTATTTTTTGAATCAAAAAATGATTTCTTGGCCGTGAATCAATTCAAATGTGTTGTGCGTTGGATTTTGTTGTCAGTATGTGTAATGTACTTACTTCACCTTCAAATCGCTCGTGTCCAATTTGTTTGGTAGTCATTTGTAGTCTGGATCGATGTATGTGAAAATGAAAAGTTGTTGCCGTCGAATATAGCGAAAAAATGTCAAATTCCACAATTTTCACAGTTGAATCATGTTTTGAAGTCTTTAAATTTTCTTTTTTCTCTTTCTTGTTTTCCATTTTATTTTGTACACATTTGACAGATGATCTCTCAATTCAATCTTCATGTAGTTTAGAAATTTTCCGCCTCATAGTTGTTCCATCACGCGTAGTCACGTCCCCATGTCGCACCCTATTTCAAGAAACGAACCGAAAACAAAACAGGCGAACATTCAGAATAAGTGCTGTTTAAAAGTTTAAAAAACGAAAATTGGAACCAGAAATGTTCCATTCCAAGAATGCGTTTTTAATGGGAAAGCAATTACAAGCAATTCAACGATTTACTTACCATTAGATGATACGATTGCGAATGAGGCACTACACCACCACCAAGTCCACCTGATGAAAAACCACTTTGTAAGCCGCTAGAAGCGCCAAGTGCTCCCATTCCGCTGGCATACCAACCGCCGTGCATATGCGCATGTGCTGGATGCAACGATCCAGATAGATGGCTATGTTGACCTATTTCAATCATTGCCACAAAAAAAAAAACAAGAAAAGAAACAATAAATTAAAATGAGTTTTTCAAGTAATTTGAAATTGTAATGACATTGTATTTCTTTGACTTTGTTTTCAACTGATTAGAGAAACGAAAATTACTTTCAAACGAAAAAATAAGCCTAGTCTATAACCTAAAGAAAACTAGTCTACGTTGAAATTATATAATCAATCCTTACCCATTGAGCCGGGGAAGCCGCCGGAAAATGCTTTCGATGGGTCTAAAGGCTTCATCAAATCGCTCATTCCCAAATGGCCACCCATTGGCAAACATCCACCAGCCATTCCCTTCTTTTTCTTTGATTTCGATGATAGTTTGCGATTTCGCGTTTGGATTCCTTCCTTTTTCATGGTCAGTGGTCGATTTACCTATAAGAACAAAAGAGAGAGAAAAAGACATAACAAATCAGTACACCGGTTGTTTGTTTGTTTCGATGATGCGTTAGATCATGTGCAAGGTCAAGAATCATAATTAATCCGTGTGTGATTCGAAAGTAGCGAAAAACACATAAACTTTTAATGCAGAGCATATCATTTCCATCTTCTTCAGTTTCATTTTTAGTGTTATGCCGTTCCATTCAGACTCCATTGCATTCTTTTTTTTTCATGATTATTTATTTCGTTGGCGTGTGCTTTGTTCCACACGATTGAGTGACAACAGTGGAAAACATTTATTGTAATCTTATCTTCATAACATTACAGCGCACATTCATGAAACGCCGAATTCAAAGGAAGGAAAAAAAGAGCACACGCAAATAAAAACGAGGAATTCATACGAATCACGTGTATTAACTGTGTGTATGTTACCGTCGGCTCGTCACATCGTCACTTCTGTCTCACTCTCTCTCTCTCTCTCTCTCTCTCTCTCTCTCTTCTGTATGTGTCGCTCTCTTGCTCACTTCCATTTTGTGTCTGAGTGTGTATGATTCGATGTACTTTTTTTATTGTTAGCTTTTAGTCTACGGCACGATAAAGCATGAACAATGTTTATGTATGCACAACGAGACTGAATTGGGCTTACAAAAAAGGTCATTTTTCATAAAATATCCCAAGATAGAGATCATTTAACATTTCGTTTATTAAATGGTTTAGAAATGTGTAGTTTGTCGCTGTTCGTCTCTTCTCCTGTCATTTACTTTGGTTTGTTTCATTTTATTTTTTTTTGTTGCTCTTCGCTATTCGTGGCTGTTGGTTCTGCTGTCGTTGCTCTGGCCTTTGTTTTAGCCACACTGAATGATATGCAGTGCGCGTACAAACGGCATTTTGCGCTTTGATTGTAGCGAACGCGCGTGAGCGCAGAATGAGGCGGGCGGCAAATGATTTGATATGCAAAAGAATTATTTATTAGGCTCACTTTGCGAAAAGAAACAAAGTGGTTTTGTTTTTTTTCCTTCTTCTTCATTTAAATGTGGAACTACTCATCGTAGCTCAAGTTACAGATTGAAATTCTGACATGTGGTTTTGATTTCACAAAGAAAGCAATCATATTGTCGACAAATTAACCGAAGGAAATGTATCGTTTCGTTCAACTGGCGCTTGCCATGAGCTGCGTAAACCCAATTCCAATGCCACAGCTTTAGAGGAGAAGAAGAAGAAAATGTGAAAAATTCCAATAACTTTCAGCTCAAATGAACTGACACTCAATATGATGCCATATCAGCTGAATGTATAATTTTCGACTAAATCGAGCGTTTTGCGTTGTTTCACCGCCGCACGCATCACTATATTTAATTTGAGCCATTTTTTTTGCAAATTCATCGTAAAAGGCAATAAATGGATTCTCAATTCCCAACAATGATCTCGCGTTGACTGAAGCGAAATGCTCTAGCAAGAGAAGAGAGAGAAGAGAGAGAGAGAGAGAGAGAGAGAGTACAAAAACCCGCAGCAAATAAATTGAAGTGAGAGATTTTAATCAGAGATTACTGTGTGGTTGTGCAGTTCGCACTCTCTGTCTGTCTCCCAAGTTCAACGTATTGAAGATTAGATTTGGTGAAACATTTACAGAAATAAGCATTTATTAGGCAGTGAGTTCTCAGCGCGTTGAAAACACAAAACAAAACAAAGACACAGCAACGGCAACGGCAGAAGAACAGAAAAAAAATCTGCGATTGAGATTTTAATCGCATAACGAAACATGTGTTACTTGCTCAATTCATTCGAAGAAGAGATTTTTTTTCTTGTTCGGTTCGCTAGACGGGTAACAATGCACGATGATTTCTAGTGACAATTAAATAGCGGCATCCAAATTGTTCTCATCGATTGAGCGCGATATCTCAATCGCAAATTGTAAATAAACTGTCATAAATCGAAACGCGAAGAAAAAGTATTTGCTCTTCATTGTTCAACTTTCTTTGGACTCATTTCAAACATGGAAGAAAAACAATTGAGCCACTTAACTAACTTGGGGCTAAATTCAAACAAATTTGTTTATGCCGAATTTCGGAACGTTACACACTAATTTGAAGACCAAAGCAACTACCAATGAAGAACAAAGCCGATAATGAGTGGAAAAAAGGTGTAGCGAATGCCTATACGCTGGTTCGACGGTCATTTCACGCATTTTAAGAATTAAATGATGGAATCGAATTCAACAAAACACCAATCGTTGACGATTACTTTCCAAATCGACTCAAACAATCATGGCTGATTGTTGGTCGATCAGAGGCCTGAAAGAGTTTGAACCACGACTGGAAATAAAAGAACACACTCCGAAGAAAGGCAATGTGCCCAGCCAAAGTGCATGCAGCACACACACATATTTACGACGAATTTGTATCTATTTTCTCTGCATATGCATGAAGCATGACCATGATTATGCAGTTTTCATTTTATTTCTGTTTATCGGCTGTTTGCTCCTTATTGTTTTTTTTTTATTCCGTTTGTGGTTTTATCGATGTTGTGGGCCCAGTGCACTTCTATACTTGGAATCGATGGAAAAATGCTGGCCTTAAAACAACGGATTTTGCTGTTTGTATGCTGTGGATATATACATATATATATATATATCTGTTTCCAAATGCACGTTGCAAGGCACACGAGCAAACGTGAGTAGATTTTTTCAACTCTGAAATGAGCGAGCGAGCGAGAGAGAGAGAGATGATTGAAACGATTTCCAAGAAATTTCGGAATCTCTGCGCTTCAAACTATGCGGAGGTTTCAATTTCTTTTTAAAGGTGCCCATTTGGTTACACTTCGTGTGTGTGTATATCTCTTTTTGGGCACTACACTTCGATCAGTGATTGGAGTGTCGTTGACGCAGCGAATTTGAACATGGAAATGAATTGGAAGTATTTTTTGGGAAAACTGTTTTTTTTGTTTCAGTAAAATCGTTTGAACTTTTAAAATTCAGTGGCAAAAAATTCAACAGAACTCCAAAATTAACGAGAATTGTACGTTTTAAAGAAGAATTCTACGGTAGGATTAGGCGAGTGTGGTGTATTTGTCCAATTAAAGCACTATATCGATTTCATAATTGTGTCTAAGTCGAAAAGTATCACATTTAAACTATGGCAAATTAGCATTCATCCATGTGGGCTAAAACTTTGTCCAAACAGGATCAAATGGGATAGAATGTCAAATGCAACCGAAGACAGGGATCAATTGTTGTCTACAGGAAGTAGCTAATAGTTGTGAAATATTGTCAATGTAATTTTGAATTGATCCAGGTAAATGGTTTGGATGCTTGGTAATTTGCTTTCAGAAGAGGAAAAAAAATCCGTTGAGTGCACTTTTTCGTCGAGCTGTTCTATTAATAACGCTCCTGTTGTCAAGAATATCAATTATCCGACAATGGCATTATACAAACGCATTAAGAAGCTGACTGCATTGTTCGTATTGTTCGCCATTGTTTGTGTGTTTCGATGCTTTTTTGAGCAACGGAAGGAATCACAACCATCAAAATGGTTACATTTGCTCTTTATGTCATTACATGTTGGTTCTATGTAATTTATGGTTGCAACAAATGTTTGCCCCTGATCCTAATCTCTGGCAAATATAAAGAAGTATCGATTTCAAGTAGTTTTTCATGTGACAAACAGCTGACGACGAAGCAAAAAAAAACAAAACTGTTACTTAAAATGCAAACTTCACAGGAAAGGCGCCTCCGTCTTGAGTTGCAACGAAAATTCAGTTCACACCGAAATTGAAAGTATTTCAACGTTAATTAACATTACTTGCAAAAATTGGAAGCCAAATTTTGTCGTGTTTTAATATTCAAAACTGAATTTTCCTGCGAATCAGATTAAAAATGGAAATGTACTTTTCTTGGGACCGAAAGGCAAACTGAAAGTGTTTGAAAGTAATTTTCTTCAGTCGTTCAGTGGAATGGTTTCAACCAAGTCTGTGCCATATCAATGCTGTTGATCTGATACGCTTTAGAAAATTGTCGTGACCGTACAAACGATGGCGATAAACTGATACCGGTACATTCAGTGTTTGGTTCATCGCATAAACTTCTAATTAGTTAAATCTCATCACTTCTTTTCCCCTTTTGACTGAGTGTGTTTGGTTTACGAAATTGACATGCATAGAATCCATCTCTCTCGGTTGGCATGAGAGCCATCTTCAGTACGATGAAAGAGAAGAAATAATTGTATGCAATTTTGCGGTTGGTGTGTGTGTGTGTGTTATTTTTTCGGCTCGTATTCGCACACGACCGACAACAAATCAACACAATCAAAAGAATTGAATCTCGTCTGATGACAAGATAAGATGTGTGTATCTGTTTCTGCACAGTTTCTCTCGGTTGCATTCACAAACTTTGATGAACGGAAAAATCTCAATGAGTTATGTGATGTCGCACGCGTAAAATGCTCTCGAAAATCCTTAGCTGAATTTTAATTAATTTTATTTTTTTGAAACACAATTTTTTTTAACCATTATATCAACACATTTACTTCTCTTTTTCTTTCGTTTAGGCCTGTTTATGGTTGATTTGAATGCGGCTAATATACTTGGAAAGAAAAAGAGAAGCGGCAACTTTAACGCTCTCGTTAAAACTCAATCGCGTCACGATGCACGACGATGCGTGCGTTTTATTTTTGCTTTCTATTTTCGGCGAATTTCGGTTGCCGATGGTTTTCGACCTGGACACAAGCCGATCAAGATAAACCAGACCCAATGACGACGCAAATGAATGACTCGATTTCAACATTTTTCATCATCGCATTTTGAATGACGAGAAAAACCGTCGTGTGTATCATCGAATTTGTGGACATTCTTCTTTCTGTTCAAGTGAAAAAGTCGCCGCGTACATCGCAGTGTTTCATAAACAAACATTGTTTGTCACTCAAGCGAAAGTTTTTTTTTTTATTCCATTTAAACTTTTGAAAAATTGATATTGATAGCAATAAACTAAGAATTAGTTAAAATAATCCGATCTCATAGTATTTACTCGGTTTAAGTTGTAATCCCGAAGTCACACTACCAGAAAGTTGTAATGAGGTTTAAAGAGATCGCTCCAGAGTGTAGAGCTCGGTTCATTTTCATAGAAAATCATTCATAGCACAAAGCATGCAATCCGTGTCAATGAGCCATTGATTGTCGTGCAAACCCGTTAAGATGAAGCCGACAAATGTTGGAGTTGCATTACTATCAAAGGTGCGTGCTGATTGCACATTTTTTATTATTCTCATTAAGAACTGACAAACCGAGAAGAGAAGACAAACTGCTGCGCAAACTGTGCACTGAATTTATACACTAAACGATTTTTTTTCTCTGTATTTGCTGCTGTTGTTCTGCATTTAATTCCCGCTCTCTCACACACACACACACACATGACTTTTAATCGCTTGTTCACGACTTCTGAAATCAGTTCTAATTAAATAAATGTGAAAACGCGATGAAAAACAAAATCAACGATAAATTTTCAGCGAATTAGTTGAATGAAAAGCGGGACTTAGTTCAAATGACCGAAAGTCTCGCGCGCGTTTTCTCATGACACTTTTCCCGTTTAGTCGTTGCAAATGCGTTGCCCAATCATAATTCATAGCTTATTCCTTGCACATTCAATCTGGCGATTGAATATTCATGACGTTATTCCGAGAGGAACGTGGGATGCAAATCAAAATAAACGAGGGGGACACACGTCGAGTGTGACATACTAAATTTGGCTGCAGATCATCGTATTTGTACAGCACAATTACTGGTTAAATAGCCCTGTTGTTACTGTTTATTTCTGCCGTCAGCATCCCCCTTCTTTGGCTATATTGACGCAAAGATTGTGCGTGTATCGATAGAATATCACATTTTTGATTCTGACGATGGCGTACAGTGATAGCTGTAGCGAATAAGTTTATGATTTCATCAGCATACGCATCAGAGAGCACACAAACCCATTGCATTTGAATTTGATGAAGGGAAAACGGATATTCAATGTATTTAAGTTAACTTGCACACCAAAATAATATCAAACACTGTGTGTTTGGCTTGTCGGTCGTGTCGAAAACTGGGTGCAATCGCAAGTGGTCATTGAGTGTTTGGCTACAATGTAACTGCTTCCGTTTCACATTAGCTCGACTTCTTTGAACATTTATCTTAGTTGAATCGACACAAGGAACACCCTAAATGTGATGTTTTTGCACAATTTAAATTGTATTCAATTTATGCTTTCTTTTTTTTGTTCTTCTCCTCTCGTCGTGTCTCCACTCTGTTCATTTGTGTTTAAATAGAGTGAGTTCGGCTGAATGTTTGCGATATGAATGTTCCGAGCGTATGTTTTGGTGTAGATAAGGGAATGTTGTTTGCCGGTTTAATTCGCATCGCATTTTCGATTACGCAACGATGTGCGACACGATAAATTTGCAAGGGCAAGTGCCGGCTATATACGGACGATCAACGCGTAACAGATAAGGCTCACTATTTTAATTCTTCATTAAATTACAATATAAAAATATAACATGGATTTGGCATTGCACTGAACGCCGTCGTCGTTGCTCAGAAATGGAATATAAATGCAAAGTTACTAGAAATCGATCGCGTGAAAAGCCGTTGAAATATTTATGTGTTCATTTCGATGTTTATCTGCTCAAAGTCTGTGTAATTTTTGTTTGTTTCTATTTTTTTTTCTTCCGCCGTTGTTGCTCATTTCATACGCATGGCGAGATGGATGAGTTTCGGAAAACCAAAGGGATCAATTTGCACAAAGATGTATCGGTTAAAAATGAAATTTGAATTGTACTTACATTGTGTAGTTTATAGTATAGTCCGCAGGCATTGCATACTGGTTCACCACTTTGATTCCGTCTCCAAAGGGTTGTTGTGGTCGTTTTGCAGTTGGCGCATGAGGTTCCTGCACGTCGGGCTGCACTTTGCAATGACTGTAACAGTAGGTTGAAAGGAAGGGGAAGAGAAAAGAAAACCGAGTGGGTAATTGCCAAACGTCTTTCAAGCGGGTTTCAAATCTTATGCACTAAACAAAACCATCTTAATCATATAATAATCGCTTGAATCGGTTTGGTTAAAGAGAAAAAAAGCCAAAAATCTAACCGTTTTTCCACATATACCATGCTTGTGTGCCTCGATGTTAAGAATCTTGACCGACTATAAAAGAGCATGACTTGCAATTAATTGCATTTTAAAAGCCAATTTCACTTCTTATTAAAACGTAATTCTTCTCAGATGATGCCTGTGTGTGTGTGTGTGTGTTTCTGTTCATTTTCAATTGGTGTTTGAAATCTGAATGGGTCTAATAATTCTATTGTTGTGCTTCCAATGTTTAAAATTTTCTTTTTGAATTTCATCGTTTTTTTCACCTTTCATTCTGTTCAAATTAAGATATGTATGTTCGTTTTGGGCATGATTTTTTCTTTTTCTTAGTTCGAGTCAAGATGTTGTTTGGTCATTGATGGAGCATTTTTTTCAGAAGTTTTTGTATACAAACAAATCATTTCGAATATAAAGAAAGAGAGAAAACGAAGAACCATCAGAAATGCAACAGTCGCACTCTGCTAAGCACAATCCCGGCGAACACTTGTCCATTCGTTTGAGGTTTATTTCCCTTCGTTTTTTTTTGGAATCGTTACTCTTTCTCTGTGTCATTCTGTCTCTCTTTCCATCATTGGACACATTTCGATCAATTAAGTTCCAAATATGAATGTCACTGCATATGACATAGATGGATGATCTCAATTGAACCGAGAAATTCTTTTTCTCTATCTCTCCTGAAAAAATGCATCAATTGTCAGGGAATGCAATGATGAAAGTGAAGTTGAATATAAATGATTTTGATTGGCGCAGAAAAGTCACAATGATGACAAAAAAAATGAAGAAGACGACGACGACGAAGAAGAGCTGCACTGCCTTACAACGCAATGGTGTTGTCGTTTTTAATGAGTGCCAGTTATTGATTACGTATTTAAGGATCCATTGATGCGTTTGTTTTAAAAATTGAGATGCGTCTGGTCCGGATTGGTGTCAATGGCCACAAAATAATGTCATTTGTTTCATTAATCTCTTCGAATGGGCATTTGCAAAGGAAAAAACCAAACAACGTTTTTTTCTACCTGTGGCGCACCAGAAAAATGGAGACGTTGAACAAACAATCAATTGTTCCTGATAAATTGTCCATGCAGAATGTGCGCAGAAAATCTACACGTAGCGAAAAAAGTGAAGTTTTATGAATGAAATCGATCTGTGAGTTTTGCAAAGGATTTCTCTTCTTCGCTGCAGCAATGTGATGTTTTTTTGCTTCCTCTTTGCACACGAAATTCGTTGAACATATGAAATGTTACTTGTTTGTGTTGTTCGAATCAATATTGCAGATCGTGTGTATTTGTACGAAAACGAACAGGACTTGAAATTAATTGACTGTGACAGTTCAAGCGTTGCATTTGTAATTTGACAGTTGATAAATTGGCGCGTGAGTGCGGATCGTATGCAAAACAAAATGGGAAAGAGACGAACAGCTAAACCGGCATTGCCGGGACACTTCTTTCCGATTGCGTTGCTAGTTTTTCTACGCATTTTCTTAGACATTGTTGTCATTCTGCATATTTTATCCGGTAGTCTAGAGTGTTACTTTTACACTTTTACGCGTGTAGGCAATCCCATTTTATAGAGAAAAAAAAAACGAAACAAGAATGTTATATCCACATATATCGTGCTTCTTCTCGGTGCTTTGGACATTTATCGACTCATTCTCGACCACACTTGCCCGGTCACAATGTATTAATTTCAAATTATTCACGTTGAAGAAACGGCCGCGCGAAGAGCATAGAGCGAGTTGAACGACGAGAATAACGCGCCCAAAGCGAATATGCGTAACATGTCGTTTTTGGTCAAAATTCATTTGTTTAAACATTACAAACACATCACTTTTAATTTTCTTCTCATTTTTATTGTATAGTTACTTCGAATCAAATCACTTGAATATATACATTCGAAATTCCATTCCATGTGAAATGATTTCGGCCGGTTGAAGAAGCGAACGCAAAGAGAGGCAAGTAAAAGAGAAGCGGCGACACCCACACACAGTCTTATGTTTTGTATTTAAACACATCTCAATCGAGTGTGTCTGCTTCCAGAAGGCCACAATGAATGATTATTGTTAATATTAGTCGTTTATATCGGTGTACTGTCCACCAAATGGGCATTCATAAATTCTAATTCAAAGAATCTGTGCAGATGTATGCGTTTCCATAGGTTTTTCGCATTCGACAAACAGAGCGCGAATGAAACTGTACATTACTTTTTAGCTGTTTTGTTTTTGCGTTGTGCTGTGTTCATTTTGAAAAATAAATGATCCAATGGAAGCATGCTGATTCACTCCAACGTAGACACATCAACATTCTTGAGTGGAGTGGAAGCCGTTTGCATGCACAACACACCGCCACATGCGACAAATCATTTTTCTTGTGCAACGTTAACATTTTTATTTGCTTGCTGCACTTCTGAGGGTTTTTTTGGCAGATAGATGATTTTGCAGCCCATTGTATGCACGAGAAGACGAAAGCAAAAGTATCAAAATGTGCAAGATGGATCGAATGTGATATTTGTTGTGAAACTGTCGAGACACAATGAGCAATGCAAACCGAAATTGGCACATTTTTTTCGAAATTGAAAAATAAACTAATCCGATTATTGAAGATGACAATCGTTTGATTGAGAGAGAGAGAGAGAGTGCATTCGATTTATTGGTGCGTGATTGCAAATCCATTTGATTGTTTGTTTGCTGTTTGATTTTCTAATTGTTGTGGAAATTGCAGAAACGACCACTAATACAGTGCAATGCGCATACACACACACACACACAGGATCGAATCGATGGAAAAAAATGTCGTTCAGCTGAGGTGCATTTAATGAGCAGCTGCCATATGCGCCTTTATTGGATAGACGATCTTATTTAGCGATAAAAAGATGATCTTCCGCATTTTATTCAATTAATTGTGCTTATTATGGGGAAAGTTACCATTTCAGTTCCTTTTTTATTCGGTTCATTTTTTTTTAATTCCTCTTGTCGATGTGCATTGACATGCACAGCTATCAAAACTGTTGTCATTCACATTGAAAGATCCCTTTCGATAAAATCATTATGCAACTAAAGCGATTTCGGCGTGAAACTTTGTGTCGAAAAGCAACGAACAAATGGATAGAAAACATAGAATAGAATCAATTTGCCGACCCATTTTTTTAATGATTCCCTTGTGGTTTTTCTAATTTCTATGTGTCTCTTTCACTCTCGCTCTCTCTCTCTCTCTCACTCCCTCTTGAGCGCTCTTTTTGGAGTGGCCAAAACATAAGAATGGTGTTTCGAAAATGTCTTTGTTTACACCTCAATCGGTTGCTATAGAGGACACACAAATAGAAAGCGAAATATATAGAGAACTTACGTCCATTGCCGAACTACAACCAAGCAAATGACATGCACACACACACACACAGCAATAGAAAATCACCCATTTTTCTTCTTCTATCGAATGTGAAGTATTTTTTATGTCATATATATTCAATAAAAGGTATCGTTTTATGACATTTTTGTATGTTTGTGTATATATACACCATGTGTGCGAGTGTCTTTGTGCTTACTTATGTGTAACGACTCATGAAAAATAATAATAAGTAAACGATTCGTTGGAAGCGAAATAATCATAAAAAAAAAATGTTGTGTACACCGTGTCACAGTGCGCACCGCAAAGACCATTCGATTTTACAGCCATCGTCATCATCATTATTTTACATTCCGACTCCGTGTGCACCACACTGTCGCTCACTCGCTCACTCTTCTTGCCTCACCGTGGTGAATGCCGTCAGAATAGAATACTGTACTCACACTACACACGCCGCTCTAATGAAGAATATGTCATTTAAATTATGCACACAATCTCAATATACGCATACACCGTCACCCGAATGGACGACGCAGTATATACGTGAATGCTAGCACATAGAGAGAGGAAAAAGAAGAGGAAAAAGAGGTTCAACGATGAATGAAACGAAATGAGAACCACGCAAATAACGCAATGCGAAGGCAAAACGAATAGAAAATTACCGAGTACGAGAGACAAATAGAGAAAATTGAAATAAATGTTTGCTATTCATTTCGAGTGATACAGTTTCTGGTTGTTTGGTATGTATGTGTACGAGCGACCTGTGAGATGTTGTAGCGGCTCAAAATAAATTATTCCTAACGAAAAATATAATACAACAAAAATGAAGCATACAAAGTTGCTGCCGCTTGGTATGGACACAGACACAGAGAGAGAGTGACCAGCAACAGGAGCCGTAGTACATTGGACACAATACATACAAAATGACATTTTATTCAGTGCAACGTATTCTTTTGCACTAGGGCAGAGAAAAAAAACTGAAGTAAAATGGAAATAAAACCATCGAATGGGTCAAGTAATTAGCGGTTTATGATAGACACAGACACGATTTTATTGGACACAATGACACGAAGATAATCAGTAACATAAAGATAAAAATGAATGTTTTATGATTGTCTCAGTAAAAAATGGAAACAGAAAACAAAAATGTTTCTGATAAATTATTTATTTGTGGATATATGCAATGCACACGTACACACATCGAGGGAGAGAGAGAGAGAGAGTATCTTTCTTATGGCCAATGCCGTGCATTTGTCACGAAAGGTAAATTGTTTATGTCGATGTGATAATATGAACATGGAATGGCTAAAAATAGGATTATGCTTTACTTTCATCAACGAGAAAAAAAAACCGAAACGGGTTCATAAATCACAGAGTTTAAGGTGAATTTTAGGGTGGCAAAAAGGCTCATGATTTTAAGGCGTGGTTGCTCTTCTTGAAGGCATGACGCCAAACTATTCTTTGCCCAAACATTTCTGAACAGAAAATCCATTTCTATTCAAA